AAACAACAGGTAAAACGCATTCTCTCTTATAAAATGTTGCATTTTTGCTGTTAAAAATGAAATCTTTTCTTTTGGGTTTTTTAAACAAAACACCAAGTTGGCTGGGTAACTGGTAGAAACCAGGGTCTGTGGATTTGCTGTGTTACAGATCAGAGAGGTCGTGTTCCTGAAGAATACGGTGATGGAGTGTGAAGCCTGTGGTGAGTCATTCTTTATGGTCACAAACATAATCACTACACCTTTTCACTGCTTTACCCAGACCAGATTCAGGGAGTTTTCCAAACTGCTTCCAGATGTTGAAGTCCTGCCTAAATTTACGAGAATCTACAACTCATCTCTCCTCTTCTTAGGAATGGGGGGGATCCAACCTGTCTCCCCCTGTGAGCCCAACCCCTGTCACCCCGGGGTGAAGTGTGTGGAGACTCCTGAGGGCCCAGAGTGTGGACCTTGTCCTGATGGCATGAAGGGAAACGGGACCCGATGCATCGATGTAGATGAGGTAGCTGTGAAAACCTATGGATGACACAATAATTCTGTTTTAAATGATGCATTAGATAAATTACTATTAATAAGTGTAGCATGGTTAATCTACATACTAGGATTTAACACTGTTTGCTTCAGTTTGGTTAGATCCTGAGAAAAGATCGGACATTAGCATATGAACTTATATTATGCACAAATATCTAGGATATTAATGCAATCGATAGAAGTTCATACAGTATCGGTCTTGGTCTATATTTTAATCCAAAGATTAATGTTTAATTTAAGATAATTAAATTTAATAACAAAAGTTTATTTATTGAATCAGAAGTTTAAAGGAATCTTTGCTTATTCAATAACCAAAATATACACCATTCTGTGTTTCATTTCAAAGAAGAGGCAGGTTTTAAAAGTTAAGAATTTATTACTAACACTTTTAAAAATGACAATTTGAAATATGACAATTTGAAACAGCTTGATATTAAAACTTGTAATTACACAAACCTGTCTGGATGGAAAACTAAGGTGGAATGCGAGGTTTGGATGCGTGAATGAATCTCAGAAGGTTTCTTTCAGAGAGAGAAGCGTTCTGGGTGAAAAACGTTGTTTTGCAGCTAACTGATGTTTCTTAGAGAGAACAGCATCGGACACAATCTGTGTTCTACCTCACCCAGTTAGACGACCCTCTGTGTGGATCCGGAGGTCAAAGAAGGATGTTGTCAGCCTCAGGGTACTTGGTCAGGTAGAGAAGACCCGAGTGAAACCGACTCTCTGGTCCAGAGTTGTCGCAGGGTACACAGTGTTGAGCTTGCGTCTGGCTTAACTCTGAAGGAGTTTTTGCGTCAGCTGGTAACAGGTGCGTTTATTCAAAGCAAGTCTATCGGCGTGACAGAATGCTTAGCAGAGACTTGGGCGGCCGTCCCTCGTCTTCTGGTGGGTTCAAGAACTGAACTACAGCTGCAGAGATTTGGTTTTAACAAAACCTCAGAACACGCCCTCTCAGCGTCAGAAAGCTTGATATTATGGAGTAAAGACATGTGAGGTGGTTACCTTTATCCTGGATACACCCTCTGCATGAGGTGGTTAACGTGCAAATGACCTTCTGGTTTACTAAACACACATTACTGATTATCATAAATAATAATAATTATTATTATTACCCAAAGCATAATAAGTAATTGCAGTAATTAAAATAAATTTATACTGAACCAAGATGATTAGTTATGATGATTGTAATAAACAGTAATAAAGTCAAATAGTTTATTAAAATTATTATTTAAAAATTATTTTGAAATCTTGAAGTGTCCTTCATCTTGGAACAGAACAGCAGCCAGATAAAGATGTTGTTCAGCAGACATCACGGCTCCTGGGTTAATCTGTGGGACAAAGTTACAGCTCGACCCAGCTTGACCCAGCTGGGAAAGTGTGACCTTTGGTTCACAAACTAGAGGCCATTCATGACGCTACATCAGTATTAGCTGTGTGACATCATCAGGCTGTACCTGAAACCCATCGTTTTGATTGAAGAGCCGCTCCTCCCCTCAGTACGTCTAAATAAAATTTGTTTAGAGTCGCAACTCTGTCAGGACTTTCAGTAATTTTGGAAAATCCATCCACTCATCCACTCATCCCTCCATCCATCCACCCATTCATCCATTCAGTAATTTTCTTCTGCTTATACGGGGTTAGGTCGCAGGGGCAGTAGCCTATGCAGAGAGGCCCAGACTTCCCTCTCCCCAGCCACTTGGGCCAGCTCTTCTGGGGGGATCCCAAGGCGTTCCTTGGCCAGCTGAGAGACATAGTCCCTCCAGCCTGTCTTGGGTCTTCCTTTAGGTCTCCTCCTGGTTGGATACGCCCAATCCACCTCAGCTGGCTCCTCTCGACGTGGAGGAGCAGCGGGTCTACTCGGAGCCCCTCCCAGATGACTGAGCATCTCACCCTATCTCTAAGGGAGATCCCCACCCTGTGGAGAAAACTCATTTTGGCCGCTTGTATCCGCAATCTTGGTTTTTTTCAGTCACAACCCAAAGATCGTGACCATAGGTAAGGGTAGGAAAGGAGACTGACCGATAAATCGAGAGCTTTGCTTTCCAGCTCAGCTCTCTCTTCACCATGACAGACCGGTACAACGCCCACATCACTGCAGACGCAGCATCAATCCGCCTGTCAATCTCACGCTCCATCTTTCCCTCACTCGTGAACTAGACCCCAAGATAAATAAACTCCTCCCCTTGGGGCAGGACCTCATCCCTGACCTAGAGAAGGTATTCTACCTTTTCCAACTCCAGACCATAGTCTTGGATTTTGAAAAATATCTATGAAATAGAAGTTAGGCCTCATTTCACTCATTTCAAAACTCAAAGAATAAAATAAAAATTCTTGGATTAAAGTCAGAATTCCTTTTGTCCAGGAACCCTCAATGAGAACTTCCTCTTCTTCTGTAAATATCTGCTGAAAGAGATCTGTTGTTTTAGAAAAATTACCACATTTTTTCTATTATTTAGTTTTAAAGGTTAGAAAAAAAGCAGAACCAGTATACATATTGTTTTCTTCAGGTTGACATTTTTGGAAACACAATTTTAAAGAAACAAAGATTTAAAAGTATTACCTGTACATTTCATTTAACTCTGCTGAGGAAATGAACTTCAACTATTCCACGAAAAACTGAGAAGCAGCTTAAACCTGCATTTTTATTAATTCTATGTTTAAAAACATGAATTAATTTTTTTCTTATAGCAAATGTGGAAGGTCCAGAGAGCCACAGGTTGCAGACCCCTGATATGGATTATCACAGACTTTTAAAAGCTTCAGGTTAAAAGCAATTAGTCACAACTCTTGTTGTTCTAAAAGACTTATTGGGTTTTTACTGTCATGTCTTGAATCTTTTACATCTTAAAATGTGTCTTTCTGGTTATGTTGATGATGATGATGATGATGATGACGACGACGACGACGACGACGACGACGACGATGATGATGATGATGATGATGATGAATAACTAAAGTTTCATGGTGATCAAATATTCTTTAGCATTCTTAAAAGCTCATGTCTGCCAGTAAAAATGTGAAATTCTCAAAACCTGGAAGAAACTCACCTAATTTAGTTCAATTCCATTCATAACAAGTTACATTAATAATCCCAATCCCTAACCCATTTTACAAAGCAAACGTTCTATCTGAACTGACTTATTAAACAGTGACACAGTTTATTTTTCCATTTAAAGAAACATTTTCTATAAGAGCACCCATCAGACTGCATCGCATCACATTCACCCAGTGGTGTCAAGTGACTTTACAGCTATCCCTCACACTAAGAAAGAATGTAGCGACAGTGGAGAGGAACCCTCCCGCAGGCTCAGCACGAGCAGCCGGTTTGGGTTTGATGCAGAACTAAGAAAAACTTTTAGCTAATCCTCACACAACTATCTGATGGCTGTCCTGTTTATTTCCAGTGTACCGTGATGCCCTGTCACATGGGCGTCCGTTGTATCAACACCTCCCCTGGTTTCCGCTGTGGCTCCTGTCCTGCAGGATACACCGGACCCCAGGTTCAGGGAGTCGGGCTTGCCTATGCAACTAACAACAAACAGGTCAGAGTTTGTGGTTATAGACTGATCTATATGTGGCATAGCTATTTACATCACTTCTCTTCAATGCAGATGTTGTACAAACATGTTACTGGACTTATTTCTATCTGTTTGTTCGTACAAAGGTGTGTAAAGATATCGATGAGTGTGAAGGTCCCAACAATGGAGGCTGTGTGGAAAACTCTGTGTGCATGAACACTCCTGTGAGTCTAACAGCGAATCATTACAACAGTAAGAAAAAAAAAAGGTCTATTCAGCACAAACATGATCAGAAAAACATTGGAGAATCTCTATTTTGCAAAGGTTTGGCTATATTGTATAAATTATTTTGCCAAAAGAGACATTCATGTTGGAAATGTTTGAGCTGAGAGATTTTTTGATTGCCCATTGACTGCTTTTTGGCCACTAGATCACTAAGAGTAAAGCCATGCTATGAGGATTTTCAACATCATCGCTGCCTCTGTGTGTGATTAGGGCTCGTTCAGGTGTGGACCCTGTAAAACAGGTTACATTGGGGATCAGCGGCGTGGCTGTAAGCCCGAGAGAGCGTGTGGGAACGGTCAACCAAATCTGTGCCACACCAACGCCGACTGCATTGTCCATCGAGATGGCACAATCGACTGTCAGGTCAACTAATCAAGTGTTTTATTTGATATTGGTCACTAAACCTTGAACAGTCAATAAATCTGTTCGCAAAACATTTTCTGTCCACAGTGTAAAGTGGGATGGGCCGGCAATGGCTACCTCTGTGGGACTGATACTGACATTGACGGTTTCCCTGACGAAAAACTGAACTGTCCTGACAGGAACTGCAATAAGGTCGGTTTCCTTAAAAAGTACATAAATGATCGATGTTTATTCAGCAACAGTGATTAATAAATAAATGTATCTTGTTTTCAGTAATGAGTAGCATAACTGCAGTAGGCAGCAGCAGCAGCAACAGTCCCAGTGTGAAAAACTAGGGACAAGTTCTGATGGAGGAACTGAGCCTAGAGCTTTAAATTGTCCAGCAAATCAAAACTCAAAAATGTAGTGGTTCAAGTCAGTGCTTTTTAGTTTTGTTTAATTTTTGAATATATTTAGTCCAGAAAATGCAGCAAACATAAAATGTAAACAAAGCTTTGGATAAAAAATTGTCCTTTATCATTTCACAAAATTCAAACCTATTTATTTTGCTATGTTGGTGTTTGTGGTGTTGCCCTTGAGACGCTGGCCAGTTGTTTAGTGTCTAAATGATTTTACACCCTCTCATTCCTCGCTTCTATTTGGGGTTCCTCAAGGATATGTACTTGCACCTTTGGTGTTCTCCCTGTAACTGCTGCTGTTCGGCTCAATTTTAAGGAAATGTGAGGTCCAATCATGCTGATGATAGCCAGGTGTAAATCCCTCAAAAGAGGTATCCCACACTTTAGATCCTTTTTGCAACACCTTGAGGAGGTTAGAGTATGGCTGTCCTCTAACTTCCTACTTTTTACTGAGAAGAAGAATGAGGTTGTGATCTTTAGTCCCAGTGTGTCCGTGGCTCCTGTACAATTGACCTGGGACCATTGGCTCTCTCTCTCTCTGAGCTCTATTATGGTGAACTCAGGTGTGTTGAATTGTTTTGGAGACTCAAGACAGAAAGGATGGAGCATTAGAATAGAGACAAACAGCTGCCACTACAAAAAATATGGATGCAAATGTGAAAAGATACTTAAGAGTTCCACTGTGATTCTAAAAACAGCAGGTCTACAGCAGGTAAGATACTGACTACTGATACCCTAATGGGCAGTAGACGTGGGCTGTAAAACTCTAATGGCGAGTTGTTGCAGGATAACTGTCTCACCGTACCAAACTCTGGCCAAGAGGATGCTGATGGCGATAAAATTGGAGATGCATGCGATGATGATGCAGATGGAGATGGGATCCTCAATACACAGGTTCACTCACAAATACATGTGTGCCCGTTTCACATGCTTTCTCACACAAGTTTGTACATATCTAGAGACCAAAATATTATACACAGGATAACTGCAAGCTGGTGCCCAACGTGGACCAGAGAAACATTGATGAGGACGACTTTGGCGATGCCTGCGATAACTGCCGTGCAGTCAAAAACAACGACCAGAAGGACACAGATTTGGACAAATATGGTGATGAATGTGATGAAGACATCGATGGGGATGGTGAGAATCTTTCATCAGACAATCAAGTAAAGAAAATGGGATAGAAAAATAAAGCACGTGATCATGATAGTTTCTCCAGAAATTAATGTTTGAGTCATATAATGAGGTTTGAATGTTGTCTAGGTAATACACAACTAAGTAATCGTTTGTTTAAAATTAGTCTGAGACGATCTTGAAAATAAGTTACAGGATGTATCATGAATTAATTTTTTGTATGTACACATTTGATGTTTTAATATCATCCTGCTATTTAATGACAGGAATTCCTAATCACCTGGATAACTGCAAAAAAGTTCCCAACTCTGACCAGAAAGATCGGGATGGTGACAAAGTGGGGGACGCCTGTGACAGCTGTCCTTATGTTCCCAACCCTGACCAGGTGAAAAGAGTGTTTTCTCTCCTTCAGCACCAAGCATGAGAAAACACGACTTCTGTCACGCTTTAAAGGCTAAAGGACCCAAACGCAGACACATACACAAGTGACTAGAAAAATAAGAAAACCAGAGGATCTGCACTCCTGCCTAAATAAAATCACATTACCATTTTGTTTTTCAGACGGATGTGGACGATGACCTGATTGGTGACCCCTGTGACACTAACAAGGACAGGTATAGCACGTGACTTCATCAGCCTGATCACACATGTTGGTCTGTGTCAAAAACTACGAGTAAAATCTCCTCCAGTGATGGCGATGGTCACCAGGACTCCCGGGACAACTGCCCAGCCGTCATTAACAGCTCTCAGCTGGACACAGACAAAGACGGGAAGGGAGACGAGTGTGATGATGACGACGACGACGATGGTATCCCAGACCTACTGCCACCTGGTCCAGACAACTGCCGTCTGATCCCCAACCCACTGCAGGAGGACTTGGATGGTGAGGAACAGCCGTGATGTGATCAAACCAACTTGTCATTTTTCTTTTTTTTTTTTATTCAACAAAGGATGTTCTTACTTCCTAACAGGTGACGGTGTTGGTGATGTGTGCCAGAAGGATTTTGATAATGACACCATCATCGATCCCATTGATGTTTGTCCAGAAAACGCTGAAGTCACCCTGACCGACTTCAGGGAGTACCAGACAGTTGTGTTAGATCCCGAGGGAGATGCACAGATTGACCCCAACTGGGTGGTGCTAAACCAGGTCAATAAAATTTGTTCTTGGGTGGTTTTGAATGTCTAAAATACTCCAAAATTAAGCTTTATTTGAAATTCCTCGTATTTGGGCAGGGCCGAGAAATTGTCCAAACTATGAACAGTGACCCTGGACTGGCTGTTGGTGAGATCATTTAAAATAAACTTTTAAACTAAACCTAAAAAAAAACAAATTAGTTGGATTATGAGAAAGTAAAAAAGTGTATTAGCAAAGTAGTAAAAACATATCGTCGTTTATTCTCTGAGGTAATTCCTTGAATTTTACAGGAAAAAGTAGATTTATACTATAATATTTCCACATCTTTCTGTATTTTAAACCTGATTTGTATTCAAAAACCTATTTTGTCAGGTTATACTGCATTTAGCGGAGTGGACTTTGAGGGTACGTTTCACGTAAACACGGTAACGGATGACGACTACGCTGGCTTCATCTTTGGGTACCAGGATAGCTCCAGTTTCTACGTGGTGATGTGGAAGCAGGTGGAACAGATCTACTGGCAGGCAAACCCGTTCAGAGCCGTGGCACAGCAGGGCATCCAGCTCAAGGTACTAGATAGATGATTGATGCTTCTTTTAACCCAGCCTGGAAAACGTCTTTGCGAGTGCTCGTTTTTTAGAAAATAATGGACACGATAGTGATTCAGACTAAAGAGGCATGGATGTTTGGAGAGTTAAATCACACACTTTTAAATCTCTTATTGTAACGTGCTTCCACAAGGAAGAAGGCAGACTCTCAGACTTCTTGTTTTTAAACAGGCAGTCAAGTCAAACACAGGTCCAGGTGAGAATCTGAGGAATGCCCTGTGGCACACAGGTGATACCAACGAACAGGTGAAACTTCTTTGGAAAGATCCTCGAAATGTCGGCTGGAAAGACAAGACTTCCTACCGCTGGTCCCTGCAACATCGACCGGCTGAGGGCTACATCAGGTACCCTGACTTAGCCGAACGGTTGACTCGGCCATGTGAGAGAGAGGCCAAACTAAGATCAGTGTTGATGAGACGAGTCACCACACCCAGCTTAGGGATAAAGCCTTCATCTTAGACTTGGCAGCACAATGGCAAAATAATTTCATTATTATTTCAGCAGCCTTCAGCGCTACTTGTTTACCTCACAGGAACAGAATGTGTTTTATTGCAGCCATCTGCTTGTTTGCAGGGTTCGTTTTTTCGAAGGTCCCCAGATGGTGGCAGACACAGGCGTCATCATAGACGCCACAATGAGAGGGGGCAGACTCGGCGTCTTCTGCTTCTCCCAGGAAAACATCATCTGGGCTGACCTCAGTTATCGCTGCAACGGTGAATGAAATCTTAGACTTGAATTACATAGATAATACAAAAGATGTATTGTGATTTAAAAAGATGCAGAAAGTGCATTCAATTTTAGCATTAAAGGTACTTTATGTCAGAATTTGAAATAAGTGAAATAATCAAATCGGCAGTAAACAGGAGCGACCCAGAAGTTATTTCTTATACCCCTAAGAAGCCGCAGCATCTTTGTTACGTTCGTTCTGTTTTTTAATCCAATTTAATGTTTTGTAGTTCATCATACACAGAGCAAAAAGAGCTTGTTTTTATCTTTGCTGGCATGTTTCTACGTTCACTGCTGCCTTCATCAGAACAACCGCCAATGTTGGTGGCGTCACTTTCGTTTATCTGCGGGCACCAGAGGATAATATCACCCTCTACTGCCCGCGCCTTCTCCGTTGATCACCAGGTCCCACGAGTGGTCCAGCGTGTATACTCCTTCGTCCCACAAAAATTAAGCCACAACATCTTTTTTTATACTCATGTAAAAAAGGCCAGAGACTAACATTAAGCTAGAGGCTAACATTAAGCTAACAATGCTAACGGTGAATTAGAAGCGTTCGGCTCTAAAAAAAAATCTCAAGTTACATTTTCAGTTACCAATAACTCAATATTACAGTGAAATGACTCATCGTTGCTCTTCATCTTGAATCTTCTGTAGCTAGCAACAGCCAAGAAACCCACGAGACGGTAATGAGAAAGTCACTTGATTTGTTTTGAAAATGGACTGCAGTATCCACATTTGACCACAAGATTATGACTTCATTCTTACATAATGCACCTTTAAAATAGTTTTGAACATAAACTTCATTTTAAATGGCGTACAGAAGCAGGAACACAACAGCATAAGCCTAAATTGATTTTTTCAAACCAAAACGATTAATTATTTTATTGTTTCTGTTTTCAGACACTCTTCCTGAAGACTTTGACAGCTACCAAGCCCAGCTGGTGGCCTGACGAAGATGCACAAGCCCAAATTAAACGCTTTGCAACATACAACTAAAGTCCAGGAAAAAAATATGTTATGGAGGGTCAATAATAAAAGCTACTTCACAGACAAATGGGATAACAGTAAACCCTTTCCAGAAGAGACTGATGAAATAAAATGGAAATTTTATTAGTTTAGTTTTGACTAACCATACATTAGTTTTAGATGTTGCTGCCATCACGAAAAAGACTGAACACTGAAATGTCGACCTCTGTGAATGAATTTAGTGCAACATAATTTCACATATTTAAAAATATGCCATTTAATATGATGTAAGTCCATTTATTTGATGGTTTTTGGGATGTAGCTTTAATATGAAAACATAAGGAGTAATGGTGCTGTGGATTTGTTACAGCCACAGAAGCTGGGGAGATTTCACCTGTAGAAGGAAGAACAAATTCAAGAAAATGGTTATTCAAAAGCAAACAAGATAGTGTTTTAAAAAAACCATGAATAAAAATATTTCAGGAATTTGTACCAATCCTCACCCGAGTATCCTGGTTTGACCTCAAGCAGAAAGGTGGACAGCATGGAATAAAAGGAGCTGCAGATTCAGATGTGGTCAGCCACGAGGTCCTAAAGGGTTCCGGTGTGTTGTAGTGATAGCAAAGCTTTTATTCACGTTTGTTCATGTATCTACAAAATAAAACCCGTTTATCCAGTCTTATTGACTTTAGAGCAGCTGCTTTAACCTCCTGCACCATCAAAGTCTGAGTGATGCCCTCAGTGATGTTCTAGCATCATTTACCACAGTAGACAAAAAGACAAATCAATGAAAACCTGGCAGATGAACCACGAATGTCAGTCGGTGGGGGGGTGGGGGTGGGGCTGAATATCTGAAAGGATGATCAGCAGCAAAGGAGCGTCATAACTGATGATCTCTTCTGTTTCTCTTCAGTTTATTCTGCTCAGATGAACTTGGATCTCCGTCAGCTTCAGATCTGATCGGAAGTCTGCAGATTTTATACATGCACAGAGAACTGGTGGACTCATTAGGAACCACGTCTGAGAGAATTAACCTCATCTTTAATGTGAAAATGACAAAGGAGCAGGAAAATAAGCCAAATACCATTTCTGGAATGAACATGAAGAATACCTGGGTGTTTATTATTGCTGTTATGTTTTTTTATCATTATCAATCTCTTTAGAATCAATAAAGTATGTTAGAAATGAACTTTTCCCCTAAAAGTCTAATTTTCATTGTCTTCCAGTACCAAAATGCATGAGGTGTTTGGATTTAAGACTATGAGACTTCAAAAACAAATAAGAACTCACCAAGGACCAGGTCCTGTTTAACTCTAAAAGCTGGCAGATGTGTTAACCAGGGGTGCCTAAACTTTTGCACAACTCATAATAGATTTGATCTGAAGTAAAAGACGTGACTTTCTTTCGTTTTTTAAACTCAACAGATTTTAGTGGAAATCAACATTCGGAACATTTCACAGGCATGCACATATCCAAAATAATCTTTTAAATTTGCATTTGGAAATACAGATTACAAAATAGAAACAATAGCAAAGACACTTTACAACAGGTTTGGAACATCATGCATGTAACAGCAACAGGCTGTGATGTTGTAAAATGACACTTTTTTTTCAAATCAGCATTTTCAGCAAATCAAGACTTTGTGCAGAGAAAAATCTGTCTTCCACATTCAGTTTTTAATCGACAGTTTTCTTCCATCTTATAAACAAATGGTCACATAAACAGAATCACATGGCGACAAATAAATAACTACAGGTCCAACTACGACTTACAGGACAACAGTGATATGCTATTTTCACTAGAAGCTTTAAGTGGAACAAGAACGGTGGATTTCCACAGCCTTTCATAGGTTTCATTAAAACGTGGTCATTTAGAAAACACTGTTATTAAAGGGACATAATTAAAACCTAAAACGTTCCAACAGAGCAGAAAATTTGACCTGTTTCTCCTGAACTGAGAACAAAACTCCTGTTTCCTCCTCAACAGCTTGAGAAGTAACACAGGAATATACTCGATGTTTAACAAACGCAGAGGAGTCTAAAATAAATAATGATCTGTGGATTTCATGTTTGAAATAAACGGACCGTCGGCTGGTTTGCCTTTCCACAGTTTGCCATTAAAATACATAAAATCTAAAGTCAGAAATACAAATCTTCCATTTTCATTTCAAAATGTTACCCTTTAAATTTAAGGAGGTAAATTAGCTGCTTACTTGGATGTAAACTGTTTATCTTGCATTTGTAGTGAAACAAAGAGGAATCTAATGCCTGACTTTGCACATCAGTGCCTGTAATAAAACACATTTTATCCACATCTCCAGGGTTTAGACAGCTTAACGGGAGAAGTTGTGTGACCTGCACCTCCGTTTGAGATGCTGCAGAGCCGTGCCATTCAGTTACGTGACCACAGGTTTTTGGGAATGACACAAGTTTTTGTGATGGCAGCTTGCTTAAACTCCAGAATCTGAGTGATCAAATTAATCTAAAAATTGCTAAATATCTCTTTACCATGACAAAAAACCAGATAATCCCCATTTCTATTGCCTCTAATGAAGAAGGCCTCAGGGTGCAAAGAACCGACATTTCAAAGTTAGATAAGCAGTGGGATCAGAGCTCCACCTGAGCAGAGCGTACTCGAGAACTTTAAAAGTGAGAGCATCTACACACAGAGAGGACAAAACTGTTTTGGTGCCTTCACATCTGCGTCGGCATGACACAGCCCTGGTAAGTATATTGTGTTCACATCTGGTAATCAGTGCATTTTCCATGCTCAGCTGACCGTTTCTTTTGACTAGCTCTCCGGCAGAGCCGACACCCACTGCCGACCGGCTGGCTGAAGTTCATACCTACCTATAGAGGTAGCCTCTGATTTGCGGATAGAATAAGCCAGCAGCGGCTTCCCGCATGCATAATTCATTATCAGTCTGGATGCTGTGGAGTAAACATCTTCTCCGAGTGCAGCTCAGAACCACAGCTCCAGCGCGAGGACAGACTGCTGTGAGGAGCACACAGCAGTCTCTGTGAGACAGCAGGAAGCTGTGTGCTTCATATCAGAGTCTCCACTGCACACAGCTGCCTTTGTTTAATAACTTAAGTTGGACACTACGGGATTCTCCATGCCAGGGGCGGTGTTAGGCCCGGCTACTTGGGCTGAAGCCCCGGATCTAAAACATGGAAGTAACATGCAGTACCAGTCCAACAGAGGGAGCAGCTGGCAGTAGTTTGTATACAGCCTGCCTGAGCCTCCACCACTGAAGAAGAAGCCCTTCAGCAGCCGGCTTCTTCTACACTCTCTGCCTGAAACGCATGAGTGAAGAAGGACATAAGGATGTTTTTTAGACAAAAAGTACAGCGACAGAACCCCAGCTTTGATGAGACTGGTGCTGACTCAGGTTTGTGAGTCTTATTTGAAAATATTTGTTGTGCTGCTGGTTTGCCTAAAGTTAGCTTACTATCAGGTAAAGTTGTTGGAGAAAGAAAGGAAATACTATCATCTCACACTAAACACTAACAGGAACAATACTCTGCCCTGAAAATGCTTAATATGTAGCTTCAGATTAAAAATTATGTGGTACAAGACAAATATATATGATGTTGACTAGTGTGTGTGTGTGTGTGTGTGTGTGTGTGTGTGTGTGTGTGTGTGTGTGTGTGTGTGTGTGTGTGTGTGTGTGTGTGTGTGTGTGTGTGTGTGTGTGTGTGTGTGTGTGTGTGTGTGTGTGTGTGTGTGTGTGTGTGTGTGTGTGTGTGTGTGTGTGTGTGTGTGTGTGTGTGTGTGTGTGTGTGTGTGTGTGTGTGTGTGTGTGTGTGTGTGTGTGTGTGTGTGTGTGTGTGTGTGTGTGTGTGTGTGTGTGTGTGTGTGTGTGTGTGTGTGTGTGTGTGTGTGTGTGTGTGTGTGTGTGTGTGTGTGTGTGTGTGTGTGTGTGTGTGTGTGTGTGTGTGTGTGTGTGTGTGTGTGTGTGTGTGTGTGTGTGTGTGTGTGTGTGTGTGTGTGTGTGTGTGTGTGTGTGTGTGTGTGTGTGTGTGTGTGTGTGTGTGTGTGTGTGTGTGTGTGTGTGTGTGTGTGTTTTAAGCCCCGGATCTTCTTCAGTCCTTAATCCGCCCCTGCTCCACGCATCTTTTGCCCCTTCCACGTGTTCGGAGACATCTGCATTCCTGAGAAGGATTTGTCAACAAAACCTGGCAGTTCAGGGGTCGGCTGATGCTACCTAGACTGGACCGGGCCAAATGTGAAAACGCCTTTTGAGAACAGCCCCAGGAAGGGCAGCAAAGAAGCCACTTTCAACAGACAGGAAGGTTTCCAGATCTCAATCTCTTTGGGGACTCATTTTTTTTATCCTCAAGATGCAAGCAGCAAAAGATCCATTATTTCTGACAAAGTATTAAATGTTATGATGCAAGTTTGGACTTGGGCCAGAAGTTGACAGACGGTCAGGACAATCTGCCAAAGAGGACTGGCAGACAGGCTCTTTGCATGAGGTAAAAAATGTATGTAATGCTTTTAATCATGATTTAGAATAAGATGGGAACATCAGACAAAAACACTAAAGCAGCAAACTTGTCATTCCTAAAAACCTTTGCCCACAACTGCAGTTGCAATCAATGTAAATGAGATTTTCATGGAGTGGAGAGAAGAACTATTTGGAGTCGCTGAAGAGCACCTCTACACTCCCACCATCCTACGTTCCCTTTTTAAAGTGAAGAAACATGACCGCTAAAGAAAACGCCTTTCAACAAAAATAAGAAAAGAATAAAGGAAGGGAAGACACTTGCCCTTTTCCACTTTTAACTCTGACCATCTCCTATCACATTTTACCAAAATATAATTCTATGAAAACAAAACAATCATGGTGAGCATTTGTTCCTCTTTGTATGGAACTGTACAGGATTTTGCCTCGTTATAAAAATTATGTTTCAAGCCAGTCGGATCGTGTGTAAATTTGTCATCGTTTTTGTTGTGCTACTAAATCTGATGAGGGAAATTTGTAGAAACCTATCCAATCAAAACCTAAACTTCCCAAATCTTAAGAGGATTGAGATGAAGGACTACTACAGCAGCTGAAATAGAAAGAACACAGTGATATAAACCAAATAAATGCTGCACTATGGGTCAGAAATGAACATTTATGATCAATTTCTATAAGTTGATGACTATAAATATGCTCTTTGTGCCACAATTAAGGGTTTGGCTAAACTTGTTTGAATGTTGGAAAATCTCTTTTGGCAATGTCCAAAACAAACATCTAAAAGATTAGAGGAACGGTTTTCCCCAGAATCTGAGACGAGTCCTTTACGGGTGCCTTTCATCAACGTCGTATGTGCAAATAAAACCAGGAAAAGGTGGAACCGTGGGAACGTAAAAGTGATGCTCTCCGCTCCTTTCAAACACGGAGTAAGCCCTTTCTAATTTTGCATCTTCTAAAATCTTCGACAGATTTTAAAAATAGAAACAAAAACAAAAGACAAAGCCACAGTAAAGTTTACAAAAAATATAAAATCCATCTTTTCTTATACATCACAATATATCAGGTGTGAAACAGTCAGCATTCACATGGGGCGGAACCGACCCTGCTCAAACAGCAGGGAGCCACAAATAAAGTGCAAAGCAACTAGTGGACTAAACATTGCACCAAGAATGAAAGTAAAAGCAGTTCACTTCACCCAGCCTAAAACTTGACATGATAGGCAACAACTCAAAAAGAAAGAAACACATCTGTCATAAAATACACTCCAGCATAGCAAGATCCTGTACACAACACGGGGTAGAAATCGTTTTGATGTGTCCATCATGTCATGCAATTGACTGCATAATGCAGAAGCTTCAGAGGTCCCCAAATGCAAACAATCAGTGCACGTGCCGATCTGCAACAGACAGGACCTCCTGGGTCAAGGGGCCAAGCTGGCGGAGAGAAGGGGGGGCGGATCGGCTGCAGGGTCTTTCAAATGAACTGGTTTCCACTTAATGCAGGGGGGTATGAGCGGTACAGTAGGAGGAGAGCAGAACGAACAACAGTCTGTTTCTTGGGGGGGGGGGGGGGGGGTCGGCAGAGATGACAGGAGTCTGGTCGGACTGTAACATGACCAAACATCCGCACTTGGGCTCATTTGGCTAAAACTAGGACACAGAAGTTACATTCTTTTATCATTCGTGAAGTAGCGTTGTACAGAAACAGAGGTAACGGAGCCACTGGACAGGAGTTCACTGTTTACCCGGGGGATAGTGTTATGTTACACAAAGAAAACCTGCAGAACTATAGAAGGCCTTCACTTAGAGGTCTGGACTGTCGGTTTAGTCATGCATTTTATGTTTCAGCTATAGTATGTACAGAGTCCGCTTAGGTGACGACTCTTAAGCAGGATGAACAAAAACAGACGAACAGGAAAGCTCCAACTACTGGTGTTACTCAACAATAAAGCCTGAGCACAATGTTTTCTGTTATTTTTTTCCCTTAGGTACACAAACCTCGGAAAGAAAAAGAAATCTGCAGATCAATATTAGAGACCTAAAGAAAAAATCCAACACAAGTGATGATATTTCAATTCCAGGTTAAAAAAAATCGTCCAATTTTGACTTTTTTTCCCATCAAGTTGGGACAATTTCTATTGGGAAGCATCAAAACGTACTTTTCAAGTGAACCCATTGGGTGAAAGCTCAACCAAAACAAACAGTTGGAGTTTCAGAGATGTATGTCACTGATTGTCATACCGCCACAACACTAATAACCCAGAAGACGTGCTGTTGGCACATTAAGGAGACACTGAATTCCCTAAAGGGAACCTCCACACTTCCAGATTTCTTTTCTTTCTCATGGAGTAAAAATTTGACTAATTTATAAACGTTCTCTTTGTAATTTCTTCTTTTTATCATAATAAACATAGCTCATAATGGCAGCATGTCTTGTTTTGCTTCCATTTTAATCACATTTGTTAAGGAACTCTATGCAACTGTTAGTGATAAAAACACCTCCGACGGTATGAAGAGAAAAGTGTGAAACTGTTGGATTTTTTCTTTAAAGGTCTTTTCAGATATATATTTTTGTCATTTGCATAGGAGTCACAGGTGAGTCGAAGGCAAATAAAATGGCTGATGGAGCTTCTGCAGCAGACAATGAACACTTCAGCTGGACCAGCAAACCCAGACACCATCCCATCCCTAAGGGTTGGACAGGTTCCCCACCATCGCTTTAGGTGAGTAAAAACATCACATTTGCACATAAATATTACAATACACCAAAAATGATCCTACACGAGTACATTTGAGGACAAACCTCGCAGGGAAGCTGACAAAAAAGCCAAGGCAGACCTGTTGGCACTGAATGCGACGTTCCAGACTTTTTCATTAGTTTTAAAACATTTAGCCACTTGAGGTCGACCCACTGGATGGCGTGTAAATGGCTTTGGGTTGAAAATGGTGTCGGACATTTTGGAATAAAACTTCCTTGGTTGAAACTGCGGTAATTCCTGTTGATTACAAGCCTGAATAAACAGCAGTGCTGTTGAAACACTGATGAGACACTAGTAAACTTTTTTTTTTTACTAACAGAACTTTTTTAGGCTCATCCAAAAGGAGAGAGTAAACATTTATACCAAAACAAAATATCACCAAGTTGCGTTTTTGTCAGACTCCCTTAAAGGAGCAAAAAGCCTCCCCATAATTGCCTTCCTTAAACACTTAAAGCCCTCCTTAATTTCTTTTTTCCATTTTGCTTTTGCCCCACTTAAAAAAACAACAACAACAATTTGGCTAGAAAGTGTACTGCTACAAAATACAGTACAATGATTTGTCAAATCTTACATAACAAAACCACAAAGACCACAGACTAAAAGTTTCTCTGAAATACAAGAAAATGTTACAGTAAGTTATGAAAATACGCAGTCACGTCGAACGATTAAGTAGAACAGTAGCATGTTACTGTAAGGCAAAATCAGGTGATTTCACAGTGACGACCTAAAAAATATAAAGATTTTAGCGTTCTCTGGATTAAAAGCAGACACTTTCTTTCACCAGGAAAGAGTTTACATGTATGTGTGTATTGGCTTTTCATTGGCTGAGCATAAATTTAGATGCATTTTTCTTGATTTCTGGTTAAATAAAAATACCTGATTTTTTTTGTTTCCAGAAAGTTAATCCCAGTAGCGTAAAATCAACCCGTTTCTTGAGCTGGAGACTTTTTCTGAACTGTGTGAGATTTGATTGGATTGTTGGGCTGCAGCACATTAACATCAGAGCATTGCACATCTAACACCAAAAAGCAACTCTGGGGAGGTTTTACACTCCTTCATTAACCCAACAGAAGCTTACAAAACAGATAAATATGTAGAAACACAAATTACATCAGTGGCATTTTATTACACTATCGCTAACAACATTTTGGCATAAAATTTCAGGTAACCAAAGAAAATATAAAGTTTTCAACCAAATCAATAAATAAATAAATACACGAAGCATAAAAACATACAGTACAAGATGAGAAAAACCTTTTGGTTGTCAAAAATAAAGCTTTGAGAGTGAAATAGAAAGTTGTTACGCAGTGAAGGAATTTCATTGCGGGGAAGTGAGCAAACAGGCTATGTTTTTTTTTTTTGCTCCCTCTTTTAGACATAGCCATGCCAACGGTTAAACCCAGTGTCTTAGCAGCTTCCTGCTACAAGCCAGTATGAACAAAACAAATGTGGATATGAAATGAAGAAAAGCTGTCAAATGTGCATATTTGAAATATATGTAGCATGTAATGGAGCACTGTAAACACAGTAGGTTAGCAAAAGCGCTGAGCAGCCAATCTCATCCAAAACGACAGCGAGGTTTTTCCCACGGCAAGCCACTGGATGTCTGATTACCTGTTCCCTTATCGTGGCGCTTTGTTTCAAAGGGTTGGACAGCTGGACGGCCATGCAACAAGGGGGAGCGTCCATCCTGCCCTTTGTTTCTCCTCATTCACAAGTTAGTGCGTTGTTTTTCTTCTCTCTTCCCTTCGCACCACAGTCGGCGTTACAGTCTGTCCATCCTAAAAGTGTCCTCGGTAGCGGGGTCAGCCAGCACCATGTCGGGGTCGTTGAGCATGTGCAGTCCATCCAGAGTGAGCGGGTCTATCTTCAGCTCATCCAGAGGAAACTGAGAGTCCGCGTCAAAGCTGACATCGCCGACACCAGCCAGGGAGTTGGTCAGCTCTTTGGAGAGACTCGGAGGAGACTCGCCTGTGACTGAGGAATATGACATCTGATAAACATGGGCATTCCTGGCCAAAATCAGCTCATTTTTTCAACAGATATTCAAAAAATACACAATTATTTGGACTTAAGCGGCTTTGAAAGAGCTTGTTCTCTTTAGGAGAAATGATAGGTCTGCTATTATGTTCAATTCTATTTAGGTATTTCATTCATCTGGTTTTACAAAAACATCTCACATGCATCTGGAAGGAGATGCAGATTTGCACCTTCTTAAAGGTTAAAAAATGTCTTTGAAGAGCATGAAAATAACTTCACCTTTAAAGCTGAGGTGTTAGAGCCATAGATAAGGATTATTTAAGTTATATTTTGTGACAACCTGTTTTATATTAAACTTTGTCATTCTTAGTAAGGTTAGTATCAGTTAAAGTTATTATTTTGAAGTACAGACTTTTATTTTGAAAGTATTACTACCAGTTACGCCATAATTTAATGTAGAAAAAAGACGAAGGTTCCAGATGAATTATGGAAGCCCGGTCCACATCAACATAATTGGACCGTTTGCCGTGTTTCTAGTTGAAACCAAGGAAAATAGAATTGCTAATCTGTTAGGATTAGGTATCTTTTGTACATCTTAGGTGTGTTCTTGCTGTGTCTTTGTCTTTGGGCTGTCGGCGAAACCGTAGCTACAAACAGGTAAACAAAACTGTTTCTGTGTTTAAAAAAGAACGAAAGCATGGATCTTTTGTACGTTCCTTCAGTGTATTTTTTAACTGCATTACCTGGTTCTTTCTCCAACACAGCAAAAGAGTTGTTTGACGTTTTAGCTGAAGTGTCGGCTAATGCTGTAGCATTCCTCAGAGCTCCCCCGAACTCTGTTCATCCGCGGGCAGCAGAGGACGGTGTCACCCTCTGCTGCCCGCGCTCTCTTCGTCGATGACACAGTCCCATGATCTAAAGCGTAGAGCCCATCGTCTCTCTTCATTATTGTGTGTCCACATCTTCTCATTTCTATGGCTTCCTGTCCCAGTCCATTATACGGTTTTCGCTGGTGCAGTGATCTATTACTAGCTGATTTCTTTATTGTACTTTCTGCTCGTGTGTCTTCGGTTTGTTTCTTTCTCACACTCTTTTCTATGTTCTGCGTTCATCAGTCGAGTTTCTCCTATGTATGTTTTATTGTATAGTTTGGATGGTATTTCGTATATGACTCCACACTTGTGTCCTGCTGATCTTTTGGGTGAACTTGTCATGATCCTGCCAAGCCCTTAACTCCATGCACCATCATTCACCTATCAGCCTTTGCTCCTGCTCCTCGCTAGTAGATCTTCCAGACTTTTGTCATCCTGCCTGATCATAGTCTCTCGACCTCGTTTCGACGCCTGACCATCGCCAAGAACTCTGCCTGCCACCACGACCCTCGCCTGTCTACGACCACGTCTCTAGCCTGCTCCTTGTACCTGCTTCGTCCTGATCTGGCTTCGACCCACGACTGCCTTAGACTCTGCCCTTACCTGAGTATTATTCCGGTAACACCTCCTCAAAGCATCTTTCAGTTCTTTTTAAAACACAGAAAAGGTTTATTTACCTGCAACGTTGCAATAAAGAAATTCATGATTTAGCACACGTCCTTTACTTTTCACAGTTGGGAATGAAAAGGGATTTATCTTTTGTGAATTGGAGCCAAGTGATTAGTGAAGAATTTACCATTTTGCTGCACAAAACTACTTTTTAGCCTGTTGAAGTGTTACTGTAGGTGCAGGGGTTAGGAACCCTGGTCCATCGAGGGCCACCATCCAGCATATTTTAGTTTCAACCCTGCTTCAACACACCTGATTTCAATCAGCAGGTGATTAACAGGCTTCTGCAAAGCTTGATGAGCTGCTGAGCAGGTGAATCAACCACTGAATCAGAAGTGTTGAAGCTAAGACATGCAGGATACCGGCCCTCAAGGACCAGGGCTCCCCACTCCTGCTGTAAATGGCTTGTATTTGATATAGCGCCTTCCAGAGTCATGGAACCCCTCAAGGCACTTTACAACACAACCAGTCATTCACCCATTCACACACTGGTGGGGATGAGCTACGATGTAGCCACAGCTGCCCTGGGGCGCACTGACGGAGGCGAGGCTGCAGAGAACTGGCGCCACCGGTCCCTCCGACCACCACCAGCAGGCAACGTGGGTTAAGTGTCTTGCCCAAGGACACAACGACAGCGACAGACTGAGCGGGCAACCTTCCGATTACGGGGCAAGCTCTTAACTCCTGTGCCACCGTCGCCCTGCTGTAGGGGTGTGCTAGCAGGTTCTAGCAGTGCTGCTGGTTTTATAGGTTTCCCTAAAGAATTGATTAAAATGAGTGATTAGAATCTCCACCAGAACCCGATAGAAACTGGTGTGTCTGAGCAGGAACATAATGAAAACATGTGGCCCTCATTTAGTGCTACAAGGCTTTTTGTATGTATGTGAACGCACACCCAGTAAGAGGCATGGCCTCATACCTACTTTCAGAAGAGGGGCATGGAGGGGCTGGAGCTATAGTTGTTCAAATTTCAAAACCTATCCTTGATGAGCTCATAGTACAAACCCCAACTTAAAATATCCATTTCATTTCTATTTAGTGGTCATATAGATCCGTAGTAATATGCAGTTTAGCAGTTTTAAACTAAGAATTTGTGACCAAATCTCCAGCATCTTTAAGATTTTCTGAACATCAACAGAACGTTCTGTTAACATGTTTATGGCTATAGCCCACTGCTGAATGTGAGGCATAACGGGTTGCCTGTGCGTGTATTTGATATCTGTAGTGGTAGCAATATCTCATGAACTACAGGACAGATTCAGATAGACATCAACTGATTAGATTTGACATTAGCAAAAACAAAACCCGATTCTAAGTCCAGTCTACAAACACTGAGGCAAATCGGGGAAACCACCGATCTGTTTCAGCTCCTGAACCAGATCCGCCTGCCAGAGCAGCAGGATGTAAAGCTAATCTCAAAATCAAACAGTGATCTGCTGCAGAAATCTTCCAGTAACAAACAGGCAAGTAAAACTGAAACCCACAGCTAAATCAATCTGTGACAAAGCATGACCCATCCTGCTGCTCATCTGAGTGAATTCCATCGACACGGAATCAGATATAAATAAAAAAAGGAACAAGATAATTTTATCAAAACATTCAATCCCCTTAACTCAAAGTGCTAAACTGGCTCTGCTTCAAAGACTGCTGTGATAAGATGCAGCATGAGTGTCATAAAGAAGCTGGTGGTCTGCTGGTGCAGCTACCTGTTAAAATGATGTTGGGGATGTTGCCATGGCTACTGTAGTTGAGCTGCTGCGTGTCCTGAAGGCTGCTCCCAGTGAGACCCATCATGGCCGCCTGCGTGTAGTTAAGGGTGGAACACTGGCTGTACAGGTTGGAGGAGCTGATGGGGCTTTCGATCATGTTGAACTGCTCCAGCTAAAAGGAACAGAAATGAGACGCCGAGCAGAGTCAGAAACAACAAGCGGAAAGCATCTTCATGATGTGTGTGTGTGTGTCATTTTACCTGGTGGGAGAGAGCGTTGGTCTGTCTTGATGCCAGCTGCTGATCATAAAACGAGTCGCCAAATAAGCTGCCCACCACAGGAATGTGCTGGAGAGGAAAGATACGTGCCAGAACTCAGAAAGACTGGAATGAAGGTCGATACATGAACATAAAGCAATGAGCCACACATAGAAACCAGAGATGGAACCATAAAAAAAGCACATCAAACCACACAACTACCAGTGAACAGAAAGCAAATGACTTTCATAAGCAGGGTCGCTGCAGTTATGGTAGAAATAAGGTCAAAATGTTAACAGTGACCTTTAGAAATAAACAAAAATCAACATGAAATCAAGAGTAAACATAAACCACAGCAGCCCAGCTCATGATAAAACAATCACAAATGGACTTAGTAAAAGGAAACTGGAATTTTTAACTGAAATGTTCCTAGAATGCTTAAAGAGGTCCTTCACTAATACTTTTATACATTTGCAGTGGTCTCTAATGAAAGTCGTATTCGGTAGTGGCTAGTAGCTCTGAAACATTGATGTTTTTTTTTTTTTTGTATATTCATTCTGTGTTTTTCACTGAATGGGCAGCAGAGGACGGTGTCGCCCTCTGTTGCCCACGGATAAATGGAGAAGGAAGCAACGCCGTCATTAGCGGCTAGCTCTGAAGAAGATCGCAGGAGCGATCGAAACTGATAGCAAGGTAAAAAAAAACTTTCTTGCGTTTAAATAGAGAACTTAAAAAAGGCATTGATGTTTTATCTCTAAAAATAACACAAGCCTGAAGGAGTTCTGCTGTGTGGTGGAGTTGCTAATGCTAATGGTTAGCATCTTCTAACACGTTCTCCGCTGTGTCCAGGGGTCTCATTTATCATACATTGCGTAAAATCCTTACTAAAACCGTACTTGAGCTCAGCAAAGAAATGTACTAACGCCAAGTAGGTTTGTGATCTATCAAGCATGGAGGACGCACAGCTGCACGCAATCTCCGCTTCATAAATCAAACTATCTAGAAAGGTTCTCAGCTGCATTTTAGTCACATCCCGCCCTCACCACGCCCACTTTCTGCCATAAATAGTCAATGCAAAGTGCCTTGTGGATCTCATGCATATACATAAGCCGGCTGTTGCAGCGCTCCGCCAGTGACGATGGCGACCGTAGATCAAGGCAGATCAAGGAAGCGCTATTTCACAGAAGCAGAAATTGAGGTACTTGTGGGTGAGGTGGAGAAATGAAAGGAAGTGCTTTTGCAAAACAAGTAAGAGAAAATCCACGGAGTGGCACAGCGTTGCTGAAGCCGTCAATGTTGTAAATTCTTCAGAGAGATCTGTGGCAGATATAAAAAAAATGGTCCAATCGGGATTCAATCCCCAGACTCCCAGATGAAAGTCACGCGTGCTAACCAGTCACCCAAACGGCGATCTCCCTTGTCCAAGTAGCCAGGGCGCATGATCAATCGGGTCACAGTAGAACACACACTGTCATAGACGCATGACATTCTGTCTCAATCTGTCCCCCTGCTGATATACTGCATTCCGTATTCTGCGCTTCAGCCTGTGTGTGTGTGTGTGTGTGTGTGTGTGTGCGCGCGTGTGTGTGTGTGTGTGTGTGTGTGGGGGGGGTCTTGTTCTGTGTGAAAACAAAGCAGTACAAGTGATAATGCTGCAGGATTTCATAATTTTATCCTTCTCAGCAGCAGCACTGCAGGTGCTCTCCATGTCCAAAATGTGCGTAAGCCAGGTCCTTACTCAACTTAGTTGTGCACATTTTTCTGCTACGTTTTCTTTCATAAATCCCAAAGTTTGCGTGGAAAGTTGCTTACGCAGTTTTCCGACCCCGTTTTGTGCGTAATCAAGCTTGATAAATGAGGCGCCTGGACACTAAACTAACTGCCTTACCCGTCACGAGCCAAGATGGGTGAGTCCAAGCGACAGCTTGATGTAGAGCAGTCGGTCCTGGCGTTTCATCGTCTATTTTCTATCAGAAGCTAATCCAGGAAATAGGTGTAGGACACAAATTTCACGTTCAGCCTGCATATTAAACTCAAAACTGGTTTCTCAGTGAAGGACCTCTTTAACTCACTTAAACAAAAACAAACAGTGAGTGTAAATAACACAAGTGGTGATACAATGCTAGCATGACATTTTTCAAACTACCGCTGCTCTTTATTATGTTCTTGCAAAAACACAGTATGAGAGACTTTTAAAGGCGGTGGAGTCCGGTCATACTGTCTCATAAGATCTCACATCGTAGCTCAGATCATGAAAGCCTTGCATCAATCAGTGACTTTAAACCTTTAAGAATTACAGTTGGTGGAATCTGCCTCTTCACTAATAATTTATAACTTTAATTTTTTTATTTCTTGTTGTGGCCTTGTTGTCTGAAAATCACTACATTTTATAAATAAAGCACACCTCACTTCCCTTCCAAACCTTCCCCTGAGCATCAAACTTGGTATTTTTCAGGAGAAATAAATTTAAACTCAGACAAAAGTAAACATTTAAAACCAAGAAATGTTTAGACTCTCACTCACTAACCCATGCACACAGTGACAGCAGGGATGAATAAATAAGGTTGCTGTTACATGAGAATGGTGAGCAGCCTGACTATCTACAGTAAGCTTTCCCCCAGGAGCAAAGCCCTTCCCTGGACAGCGGTGAGCTTGGTGGGTGGGCCCTTACTTGAGGCGAGCCTCCTGGGGAGAAGCCTTGATTGGAGACTGGGGAGGTTGGAGACTGAGTGGCTGGTGAGCCAGTCTGATTGCGGTACTGTTGGAGGGAAGAGGGTTAGCTAGCACTAAGCTTCATGCCTGTCACACACAAACTTTTAACCATCAACTTAAAGTCTTACATTTACCAAATACCTCCAGATGCACAATGACAAATGGTTTGTCTACGTTTGTGTAAAACATCGTTACTAAAGAGCGCGTGGGAGAGAATGAATGCAGAATCACGAGCTCTGTAAACTCTATCCACTTCTGTGGGCCAGCAAACTTTGACCGTTTCCAAATTTAAACTATCAAAAGAAAATTCTTGTCCTGAAACAGTATGGTTAACAACCTTCCACCTATGTAATCTAGGAAAAGGACAAACCTTTACAACTTAAATAAGAAACATAATTAATTGAATTTCGCTTTCCTATTTGATTTCCCCACTTCTTACCGAGCTGATGCTGATGCTGGCGGTGGTCTGGCTGTCCGGGGAGGGGCTGCTAGCTGTGGCTGTACCAGAGGAGGCTGCAGTTGGCAAAGCAATGAGCTGGATGCCCTGTGGGAGGGCCTGCTGCTTCTGGAGGTCACTGAGAAGCTGGGCCTGGGCCTGAGGAGTCAGCTGGCTGAACAGGGGGTACTGGGAAAGCTGCTGTTCCAGCGTTAGGGTTTCTGTTGGCAAAGCCTATTAAACAGACACAAACCAGTAGCAGACACTGGATCTGACAATGTTCCACCATCATCTGAGGGAAAGAAAAGAAATGAGAGCCAGTAGATAATGACCTGCGTGATGTTAACAGGTGAGGACAGGGTGGGCGAGAGCTGCTGTGGAGACTGCTGGAGGTGGAGCTCAGAGGTGAGGGTTAGTGGCACCACCGGTGGCTGCCTGCGCTGAGCCGTTACAGTCATTGTAGGCTGAGAGGAAGTAGGGATCCCTAGAAATAAACACATACAGATACAACATCTGTGTGTCAGGACTTGCATGATCTGAGATTTGTAAGAAATAAATGAGCAACAGATACTAAACGCTGAACAGTGGGTCCAAACGGATCATTCATTCAGGAACGCAGAGTTTGGAAAATATAGAGCAACCCAAGTTAACACTCCATTAAAATACTCTGTAGAAAATAGTTTATAACAGTGACTACAGGATGCTCTGGTTTATTTGACATCTTCCACCCCAACCACTAAAGATAGGACAGAGCTCGTTACCGTGACTGGCAGCGCTGATGCCCAGGTGGGTGAGGTTTGTGGTCAGGCTGCCCGTGCTGTTGGCCGAGCTGAGCGAGGGAAAGGACACGGTGTCCTCGGGGTCGAGTGGAGTGGACAGCGGAGGAGGGAACTGGATGTTTGTCAGATCTGGCAGAGAACCGCCAGTGTTGTGTGCAGCTGGGACCACGGACGGATTCAACTCCTGGTCCGGTGACGGAAATATACTAAAATAAACAAAACATAGCTGATGAAAAAAAGATGTTAAAGAACAGTTTGTCGCACTTTTTGTGTGGAAAGAGTTAAACTAATGTCGTCTTGCTGCTTCTTACAACATAAACACTTCAAAGGGCCCGCCACGTCACCCTACAAATAAGAGGTTTTGACCACAAAATAAGATCAACTTTATTTTAAAAAAAAGATTAAAAAGTAATACATTCTGAGCCATGGGAGTGGGTTTTCAGATGGATACCAAACCGGCCAACATTAAAACCACCCGATGGCTAGGCCAGAGGGGCGAGTATCATTTACTGTGCCTATCTTTGCTCTGGAAGGTGTAAAACTGCATGACACAGGTCCTTTAAACTCTGGACTCCATCCTTCCATTTATGTCTAATGGCCAAAACGATTGAATTAAATGTTGGAGTGACTACAGATTCCCTCTGTGATCAGCAGCGCTCCAAGTCCTCAACATGCAGTGACTTTGTACAACAGACTCTAAATGTAAAGACCAGTACTCTCTGGAACAGTCTCCCATTCCCCACAGAGGAGTGTGCAACAAAACACACTTTCAAAAGTGAACTCAAACATTGGCTGAAAGCAAACCAGTCATGTAATCTAACCTTTGTATGAAATCTAATCTGAATGTCTATGATGCATTTCTCTCACTGTCCTGCTCAGTCTCGTCTTTGTGACTTGCCTAGGGAGTGCATGCTGAAAATTAGCATTTGTGCTATAATCCAGCATATTTACATGTACTGATGCTTGGAAAGATGTTCATAGCTGAGCACTATCCCTATCAAATAAATTAATGAATGCGTTTTAGCAGTTAAGAGCTTAGACCAGGTTCTGACGCTGCAGATGAGGACACATGGCTGGAGACGGTCAAATCTTAAGGTTGGTTTATGCTTAACGCGTCCGCGAGGTCCACACGGCTCCGCGCGGCGAAATTGCATCATTTTAACAACCACGCCCCTCCACCGCATCTCCGCATGGCCCAAAATTTCCGCAACGCGCACCTAGGAAAATTTCTAACCATGCGGACGGTTTGACGCGGAAAAACATGGCGGACTGACAAGAACTAGTATGGCAGAGGTTCGTAAATACAGACATTTGTATGATTCAGCTCTCAGAGATGACCGTGATCAACATGTTGTTAATAATTCTTGGAGGAAAATAGCTCGCACTGTCGGAAAAGACGAGGACGTTGTTAAAAATGCTGGAATGCCATGTTGTAAACAGTAATTTCTACTTCTACTATGGTGTGGTGTTGGATGCATGCCGTAGAGCTCCATGCTGCCCCGTTCAGTTTGGGAGAATTTTGGCTCACCGCAGAGACAAGCCGCACGAACCATAAACGCTGCAAGTTGTGAAGCGCGTTCCAGCCGCGAGCCGCATCACCGCGCGGAAAGTGAATGTGTCAAGCATAAACCAAGCTTTAGTCTGACAATATCACCTTCAAGTAGATCACTTTTAGAACATCACCACAGCAACGAAAGTAGACGAGCATCTCCTGCACATTTCCAGACTTCCTTAACTGTAACTTAGTTTTGTTGTCGTGTCCGACAGACTGCTGGTCTCTGACATTACAATAAAAACACCTTAAACTAAAGCTACTCACTTGATTCCTGGGACATCACATGTGTTTGTCGTCGATGGATCATCCTGAGAGAACAAATGTGTAATCATGATCCACCAACTCCAAACAGAGATGCATTCACTTAGTGGCCCCTTCCAGTCTCATGCTTACCTTTTTGTCGTTCCACATCTGTTTCTGAGCGTCACTGTCAGCATCCGATTCCGAATTTTCTGTCCCAGGAACGGTTAGCAGCAGCACTAAGCAGCAAAGCACAAGACGCGGTTTTTCGTGTTGACAAGACACAGAATTCAAATTATTGGGGAAAAATATAAGTCATCAATATTTGAGCCAGTCGTGCTAAAAATAACTCTGCTGTTGCACCAGATTCCTACAAGTCTAAAAATAGCTAAGTGACCACCAGACAGACTGAATGGATGCCAGCTAATCTTGACTTCATTATAATTGAGCCTCACACACAAAAAGACATGATCGATGCATAATCAGTTACTCATTGATTTTGGGCTCAGGGTCGTAGTAAATCAGCTGGTTTCAGAGACATCTCTAAAACCAGCTGAGTACTGTACCAGCATGCAGGAACACTTCTCTGGAGATCAGTTTCCTTTTACATCATAAATATTTCACCATGAGTCCAGATCTCCCTCCATCTGACATCCACCCTTCTATACGAGCCACTGTTTGCTGCTTGGATTAGCCCGTTGAACATGAATAAATAAAAGCATCTCTGTGTCTCTGGAACTGGATGCTGCTTCACCTCGTTTAGGCTGCAGCTCCTGTGATCCCCCTGAAAACACCTCCTGGGGTTTCGGGTTCATGGCGCTCTGGTGTAAGGCGGAGTCCGAGTTTGTCCTGCGTGCATTAGAAAGATGAGATGTCAGCAAAATGCACGGCCAATTCCCGACGCTGGCAGAGGGACAACTCTTTAGCACCACATCCATCAGGGATCGCACCACTGCAGTCAGGCTGCTCAATATATAACCATCATTGTTATTATTACTAGATTATTATTATTATTTTTAAACAGACTAATCGACACGATGAGTAATAATTTTTTGGGAAGTGAGTAGTGTCTGGCTGTAATTGTGGCAAACAGGCAGGTTACCTTCTCCAGCTAGTATCTGGCGGTGGGGAGAGGTAAACGGAGCTGTAAGGACAGCTGTCGATGTGAATCTGGTCAAGGCTAATAACGTGGAGGAGATTAAGACCTGGTTCAGAGATGGATGACATCAGTAAACTAATACTTTATACGTAATAACCACAAAGATACATGAAGGAATAAACTTTACCTAGAAAACTAAAAGTAGAACATGTCCATAAAACGACAGATTTTTCTTGATTTGCTACGTTTTTATCAGTTCTTTTTCCAGCCGAAACGTGAAACTAGGGCTGCTCAATTAATCGAATTTTAATCATGATTACGATCTGAGTTTTGAACGATTATAAAAACAAAACAAGCCGATTATTTGCTCCTCCCACTTGCGCTGCCCTGAGTTGCAAATGAAGCGCTCCTCCCAACTTGGCGACTTTGACGCTATTTCTAAGAGCTTTTCAGACCCCCTTCTTGACTTTTTAAATCTTAAGTACCTAGCGAACACCTCAGAAACATCTCTGGTAACCCTTAGCTACTTTCTGGATAACTGTCGTCAACATTTCCTGCAGGTTAGCTAAACGCTCCGCCTGCGCTCCGGACCGTTCTTCAGGACATTAGGAAAGGGAATGATGTAGTGATGTGTCGGTCGCTAAAGAAACAGCTCCCAGAGTCGGTTCCCTGTTGGATTAACCAGAGTGAGTGACACACACTGCACCTGCGGACTCCTGAGCCACAAAAAACGGCTAAATGTGCGCGTGCGGCGCGCTAAACATACGTGCAGCTTTCTCCTGATTGCTGTGAAACCGGGTTGGGGGGTGGGGGGTGCAGCTGTGGTTGGGACAATTATTACATTAACTGATGGACTTGTAAATAAATAGTTTATAAATAAGGTAGAAATAGACAGAAATAAGTTCCTCACGCTGATAACTAATAACTCATCTCTATGAGGACACGATGCTAGTGCACTCTCCTACAAATGCTATGTAACATTTTGTGAACATCAATTTATTTGCATTTATTTGTTATAAATGCCACTGTATAATTCTTGCTGTCAGTATTTGCAAGATATTGGTATTTGGGTCTGTACTGGTTAGACTTAAATTAGTTAAACCAAAGTCTATAGCCCTTGGGTCATAGACTATGAGCTAAAAGTATATAGGTCTTTTTATACTGGGAATCAGGAGTTATTTTAGTGATCATCTTGTTTCTTATTTATTTTTGTTCTCATTGTGTCCTGAGCAATTTTATGACTGAATAAAAACAAATAAAATCAACATAAACTGAAAAATCGTCCTAAATAATCGAGATCTCCATTTCAGTCACCATAATCGTGATTATTATTTTTGCCATAATCGAGCAGCCCTACGTGAAACCATTTATTTGTGGCAACATGAAAACACTGAAAAACATCTAAACTAAATGTGAAGGTGAAAAAAGGACCCGCAGCTTAAGTCTGGAGTTCCACTTTTCACAACTAATGTCAGTGCTTCCCACGTTTTGCAGATTCTCTTTAACTCATTAACTGCCAATGACGACAAAAGTCATCATTTGTATTTTTTTACTGTGTAGGCGTCAGAACGAGCCCCCGCACCATGAGAACAAACATCTCAGCTCTAAAGCCGATCTACATCCACGTACGTCACACGTCACGTGATCAGGATCGTTTTGGGTCGCTGCTGTAAAAAAAGTGAGGCGCGAACCAGAAAAGCTTCTGCCGATAACAAGTCAACCACGGATTATGAAAGAAGGGATAAAGCTCGAAACGCGCGGATTCTTCCTGATGTAAGAGGTGAGTCTACTCTTTGTTTTGGTTGTTTTGGCGTTGACGTCATCCTAGCGCGCAACGTTCTATGACTCTTAAAAAAAGTGAAAACGCTGAAAAACGCTGGCAGCAAAGGGCTTTTCTTATCAGTAAACGTCTGGCAGTGAATGAGTTAATTAAAACTACCAACAAGAACACAAAAATAAAAACCTCTCCCAGGGTTAGGGCAGGGTAACCCTAATCCTAAAATGTGAGAACAGCCAAAACTGGGACAAAAAGGCTAAATGTACAGATTTTAACAATTGTATAAAATTCTAAACCTACAAAGAAACAACTAACATCAACATTAGGTTACCACATTTTTCTGTAAAAAGGATATTTGGCGGCCATGTTTATCAACAGACAGTGGCCGGCGATGAGGGGATGTGATGCGGTTCCGGTCACGGTAAACGCGCTCCACCAGCCCGTGGTGTCTGGTTGTCCGACTGGTGTCCAGCACAGAGTTCTAGAGTAAACACACCAGGTGAATCAGGCTGGAAAAGACCTCAGATGGGAGAAATGGTGCAAGTGGGTTCACTTCAAGATGAATCGAGCCACCCACGCAACACCAATTCTGATGCTTGAGTTAGCAAAATGCATTTAAAGATGGAAAGGCATGACAAGCAATGGTGTAATTTAAAATTTAGGAACAAAATTAGAATGCTGGAGGAAAAGGAAGCTTGAAAAACAACTCCTGTCACTACTGAGCCTTCATAAAAGCTGGTGGAATTTGCAGCTTTCAAAAAAATACAAAATAGAAAAAACACTTTACAGCTGTCGCAGCTAAAGAGAAGCCAGCAGAACCTCTTTGGGAGGTTTAAGATTGCCTGTTTTGAACGTTTTTCTAACAGCATATAAAACAACTTCAACCTGTGTGTGTCCAACATTCACCAACAGCTGACAAGAGTGCACTCATCTACAACAAACCATTGCCGAGAGAAGCTAAGGGCTCACCTGAAAAGGCAGGTCAATGTTGCCATTTCCAATCTGATTGACATTGGGCAGTGAGCCTCCATAGTACTGTCCACGATTCTGCCCTAGTTGCAAATACTGGGTCTTCTGCAACTGCAACTGTGCAAAGTAAAATTGCATGAAAGCACGAGTGAATGATTCGATTGAAAACAAAAGAGATGACAAAGAATGCAGGATACATGCAAGTCTAAAGAGAGGTGCAAGATTAATGATTCTATTAAATCAACAAGTTATTGTGACATGGCTTTTCCAGGAATAATGAAAAAGCACAGTGAAAATTAAACAAATACAATAAATTCAACAGCTGATTTAAATGACAGCCGACTGATAGCTGGTGGATTTAGAGTCTGCCGTTTTATGTATGCAACACACAGTCTTTACAATAAACACACGTGCCAATATGAACACTAGTCATGAAGCCATGTTTACAACAAAAATGCAGACTTCTATACAAAGAAAAGTGCTGTCAGATTTATGATCAAAATTAATGCAATGGATGGAAATCTGAGAGGTAACAAGGAAAATAAATCTTGCTGACACAATAAAAATGTTTTCTTCCCTGCAGTAAATAACAGTAGTGCTTGGATTTACACTGACGCAACACAATATATGTGCATCATTTCCAGCAAACGAATCAACAATTAAGACAAACACTTCCTGGCATCCTCATGAGGTGAGTCAGGGTATTCATTGAATGAAGTGACTGAGCTTCCTGTTAGATTAGGTCTTGTTATTTAACATATGTTTGGGTCTGAGAGAAAAACAAAAGTGTTAATTCTCTGGGAAAGTCCTCTGCTGAGGCCCCGCACCACCCTACCCTAATAAAAGGGCCAGCGAGCAGGTTCTCAAACCGGTGATCATTCCTAATTTTCTAACCACTTCAGTGGAAAAGAGTGACAACAAAGTTCTGGTTGGTTTACAATATATTGTTCCTGTTGTTACGTTTGTGTTGAGTCTTTAAGAAGGACTTGTCATCTCAATAAACCCGTGACGATGCAAGAACAAAACATCACCACTTTTGTTAAATTATTTCAAGGATAAATGAAAACTGAATAGGTAATTTATTGCCATCTCAACATTGCTGGTTCATTAGAATTAACAGTTGATTGATATTACTGAATGCAAAATTACTATAATAGTTAATGATGTGGCTATAAATAAAATATAAGTGATCTTATTTTTGTTTGTGTTAGCTAGCTGCTAGCACGTTATGTAGGAAACGGTTGACAGGTTAGAGGGAAAAAAGCCCTCCTGTAATTTAAAGCATCCCACATTTTTTGTAAAGAAGTTTATGAAGCAGTGGCAGATCTAGAATTATTTTACATGAAAGGGCAAATGAGGCACAGAAAGTCTAAACAGTGTGGCAAAGCAGGCCTTCCTCATTGAATGATGCAAATTGCCTTTAGATGTGAATGGAGTAAACAAATATCTACACCACAATTTAACAACTTCATTATACCTTTAAAGAAAATGGGTATAAATGAGAAAAACAAATGTTTTATTTATTAGTTTATACATATATATTAAACAAATAAAAAAAATAATGTCAATTGATGTACAAGACGGATGGTGCCTTTAACCTTATTAGAGGCGTAATTATAAACATAAAAGTAAGGAGGGCGTGGGGGTATCCCTGTAGATCCGCCCCTGAATAAATGTATATAAATAAATTGCTTGGTGTAATTCAAACTTAAGTGTTCATCACGATTTCCTTTAATCTGAACGTGTGTAAGTGCGTCGAAATGATGGGGGTGTTTTTAATTTCTTATTTGATTTATTTTTGGACAACATCGGGGGCGGAGGGAATCCACAGCTGATGCTGGTTCACGTTTGACTGGCTAAATCATGATTCCAGTTTAAGTCTGGCCGACTAATCTAATGTGTCATTATGCACTCATTTCTGTGACCGTAAACAAACAAAAATGTAAGCAGTGACAGCTCTGACCAGACACAAACATAGAACAGGTGCACATTATTCACAGCGAGCTAGCCGAGCTAAAAACGTTACACTTCAATCCCGTGTTGGTATCCGAAAAACCAAGATAAAACGCTAGCGCGTGTTTACAGACATGAAAACACGTTTTTTGTGATGCTGCGCTGTTGCAGATGAGGATGTCAATGTGAACTTTAGCTAATCAGCCATCCACCGTAGAATGCTTCTCCGCAGTGTTGGTTAACTGCCACACGGCAACGCAACAAAATGTAAACATCCGGGCTATTAGCAGTCTTACCCTTGCTGCTCGGGTGATGTTCAAGTCCTTCATCACTTCTTCAAACGCAGCCGTCTCTTCCGCCTGTTTTTGATTATGCAACGCGATTTTTTCGCTAAATTTGCGGGGATTATTAGAGGACGCCATCTTCCCCTCTTCTTCTCAATGGAATGTTACGCTACGCACCGCGCCAGGGCCTGCTGTTGTCGTCATCACGCTCGATGGACGTGCCTATTGATGTTGCTGCTGGCTGGTGCCAGTGCGAGGCAGGGTGAGTTTCAGATAAAATAAGAATCACCACGGGGAATCGTGTGCCCTAGATGCTTGTTATAAATAGTAACATAAATAAATAAGCAGCGATATTTACATCCAACATAATAAAACAACAGCCAGGAAGAAAGTGACCAGGTGCTGACTTAGAGGAAATTAATGCATTTGTAATTCTCATATAATTGGTTTTAAAACAGAAATTATATTTTTTCTATTTATCAAGAAAAAAGAAAAATGTACATTGGAATAACCAAATTCCAAACTTTACATCCCGAATTATGAATGAATACATTTTAATTTGTCTGCAGCAAAAAAAAAAAAAAAAAAAAAAAAAAAAAAAGTAAAATTCATGGGGTTAAAAGGTCTGTTTAAAGGAAATTAAACAAATGTTCTAGTTTAGGAAATAATCTTAGTATAAATTTCATCCATCCTTCCATTTTTGGCTGCTTATCTGGGGTCAGGGAGGCCCAGGCTTACCCCCCCACGCCACTTGGGCCAGCTTCTCCGGGGAATCCCAATGGCCAGCTGAGAAATATAGTCCCTCCAGTGTCCTGGGTCTTCCTTAAGGTATCCTCCCAGTTGGACGTGCTCAGAAAACCTATCCAGGGAGGCATCCAGATGACTGAGCCACCTAAACTGGCTCCTCTCAATGTGGAGGAGCAGCAGGTCTACTCCGAGCCACTCTCGAATAAGTGAGCTTCTCAACCTATCTCTACGGAAGAGCCCAGACACCCTGTGGAGAAAACTCCTTTTGACTGCTTGTGTCCACAATCTCATTCTTTTGGTCACTACCTAAACCTCGCGACCATAGGTGAGGGTAGGAATATAGATCAAGCAGTAAATCGAGAGCTTTGCCCTTCGACTCAGCTTTCTTCACAACAGATCAGCACAACGCCATCAGCACAACAGATGCAGCACCAATCCGCCAGTCGATCTCGTGCTCCATCTTTTCCCTCACTCGTGAAGACCCAGAGATGCTTAAACTCCTCCACAATTAAAAGCTATAAACTCACTTAAACCAAAAGCTATTCAAATATTAGCTATAATGCACCTTTCTACTTAAAGGCAGAACAAAGCCGTATCTTCACTGCTTCAAATAACTGAGTGCAGTAGTAATTATAAACTAAAAAGGCCCTTTTTTCCTTATTGAGGTATGATGTAACAGTAACACTTCACAATAAGAGTCCCTTTATTAACATTACTTTAAGCATTATTGAACAAAAAAAGGGGGGCGGTATCCACTTGGTAATGCATTACTTAATATGGTTAAGCAGTTGTTAGTAATTTATTAATTAATGCTTAATAATGTACTTATAACGTTAATAAGGGACCCTTATTGTTAAGTGTTACTAATGTAACATACTAACCCTAGCCAGTGTTTCAAACTCATTTTATCTTAAAAACAAAGACATCAACTTCTCATTTTGAGTATTTTTAAAACATAATACACCTTTAATTAAAGATAAAGCTACACAAAATTATACATTCCTTATTGACCACATAAAATTGTGTTGTATTGCACTTTAACATCGTGTGCTTTCACTGGTACAGACAGAACAGGACACACAAAGGCAGACAGACAGGAAACCAGCATGTAGGTGGCTGTGTGCAAATAGAAAAACAAGTTGTGCTTTAAACACCAGTATACTGAATGTATAACGTGAAATATATAAGAAACAATGCACTGAAATTTGCAACAACTGGAAGGAAAAAAAGTAAAAAATTCAACACAAACAACGTCATCACTGAGTTATCTCAGGATTTGAGTGTTAAATAATGCACATGATACTGGTACATTTTAAATAAAGGAAAACTCTTGTTCAATGAAAAAACATAGGATTTCAATTGAAACACACAAGTTATTTATGTAGCTGCCATATGAGGTCTTCACTGGTTTATGTTGACTGAGTAAGGATTGAGAAAATTAAAGTATCAGTTTTCAGCTCCATGAATACATACATACAAAACTTTCTCAACATATTATGGAACAAGTACTTCAAAATGAACACATTCAATACTTGTTTTTGTGCAATCATCGAGAGTTGATATGTAGCTTGTTGATTAGTGAATCTGAACAACCACGGTCAGATTTACTGTTACTTTGAGTGAATAATACAAACCAAAAAAACAACTAACAGTCCAGTATTTCCAAAGTAAAACTGAAAAAGATGAACGGTGAGATTAAAAGACTGGACAAAATCCACTGATCCATTTGTGCTATCAGTAACTTAAGCCCTTGTTTGATAAAATGTACTTTTATTTTGCTAAGAATAGAAAGTGCTAGAAATTAGGCAATGCTGGACAAGGTCCTTTTGGTTTTTTTTACACAATATTTTGTTTCTAATTGGGCAATGATGATCATAACGAATAGATCACTGCATATTCATGTCAGTTTTTACTCTAGAAAAACACAAATATCCCGTTTTCTTGACTCCATAAAAAGCCTGTAATTCTGAGTAGCCTATTGGGTCATTCCTTAAATCAAACCCCTAAACATGCACAAACTCTCAGGTGACTCAATGGTCGGCAGTAGGAGCACATACAGTAATCTTCACAGTTTCAGGTCAGACGATTAACGTTGTGTGATGTTTTGTGGAAGTATGATCGGCGTACAAGCAATGCCAGCAAAGGACTCTGGAAAGTGCAAGTCCCTTTCCCACTCGTCCGTCTCGGTGTTGTACACCTGGACAATGCTTGTGACGTTGTTCAGGTGCCAGTTGTAACCTCCTATGATGTAGATCTTCGTGTCCAGTAAGCAACAGCCTGCCTCTGACTGGCCCACTCTCATAGGACTGACGGTGGTCCACTGGTCGTTTTCTGGAATGTAATACTCAACAGCCAGTACATCAAAGCAATGGTCCATGTGGTCCATGCGCCCACCCAACGCATAAACGCGCTGTTGGGCGCTAATCATGGCATGCAGCACTCTGGGTTCATTCATAGGAGATTTGAAGTCCCACTGGTCTGAAGCTGGGTCGTAGCAGTGAAGCGTTTTCTTGTCTTCTAACGAGACGCCATAACCTCCTGAGATGTACAGCTTCTCGCCACAGGAAGTACCGGCGTGACCCCAGATTCTGCGTTTTAATGGTTCCACGCATGACCACTCATTCTTCTTTGGACAGTAGCACTCCACGGATGACAAACTGCCAGATCGATTGCGCCCCCCAGTGGCGTAAATTAGTCCCTGCAGCACATTGAGCTGAAACTGGATGCGGGCCTCCTGCATGGACTGGATGCGAAGCCACTGATTTAGATGTGGGTCATAGCGGAAACAGGCGTCTACAGCCCCCTCCCCACTGCGATACTGCAAGTGTTGCCCACCCACAACATACACAAAGTTATCAAGCACTGCAACACAAGCGTGGCTGCACCCCGTCTCCATCTCAGTCAGCTCTTTGAACTGGCGGGATACAGCATCAGGGAGATAGTACGCCTTGGTGCTAACGGTGCGGTCGTTGTCAGTGTACGGTGTTCCGCCAAAAGAGATGAGTGAAATCACATCAGACCGAATAAGCGTCCGCGAGGACTGCATTTCATGCTGTCGGAAGGGAAGGATTCGGTAATTGAAGGCCTCAAGGAGATACTGGCGGCACAGAACGTCCTCCACCATGATGTCCACTGTCTGAACGCTGTCCACCAGCTCCGAGGAACGCATGAGTGAAAAGCGTACATGGCAGAGGACGCTACTGGCTTGAGCCCGACGAGACTCATCGTACTGGAGCCACCTGATAGCGGCATGGAAGAGGTCGATCTCATTACAGTTCTTCAGTTTGTTGCTTTGAAGAAAGAAGATGAGGCGCTCCATGGGAATGTGCAGAAAGTCCTCCTCGTCTGCAATCTGGAGGAAGTGACGGAAGGTGAAGGCATCGACTGACTCTTTGAGGGAAGACAAGCTGAATGTGGTGGCCATTTGCCCGATGTGCAAGCAGGTCTCCACGCTCATTGCTGACTTAAGGAACTCCTCGCAAAGCTCCACGACTGGAACCATCTGGAGAAATACGGCAGCCCCGAGGACATCTTGGATACAGTCCAGATCCAAAGTGACTTCTGCACTGTAGGCAAAGTCAATGATATGTTTGAGCCCTCGGGCAGACAAGCCCTTCAGCTCGATGGTGTCTTGGTTTGACTCCCTCATGCCTCCTGTAAACATAGCTCTGAAACACAAGAATGTGCAAGGAAGCAACATGTTATTTTGAAAATCTAAATTAAGTGCACACAATAATTGCATTTCACATTTTACAACATAACAGTAGTACTGTGTTGTTGTGTTGAAAGTGCAGCATCAACAGCAAAGCTGTACCAAACAAACCATGCATACTAGAACATATTTGTCATGATTTAGTGAAATCTGTGTTCAATAATTTACCATTTTTAAGTCTTCTGTCTCCGCTTTCAGAAAACAGTCTTCATACAAGTTGTAATTTGTAAATATCGCTTCTCTTTGTTCATTTTAGTTCTTTCTTCACCAATGCAACCTGAAAAATGTCTCAAAACCTGCTGAAAACATTCACTACTTTGCAAATGTACTATTGATTTTATTCAATTACTCTGGAGAAAGAGCATCAGCTAAGTGCGTCCAGTTCAAAACACAAAATGGACAGCTTAAAGACTAACCTGAAATAATCACTACAAGCAGCCAGCACTGCTTTATGGACCTTGAAGTGCTCCTCATTGACAGCCAGCACCACATCAAGCAGCTGACCCTGAGCTCGCAAAACCGACAAGCCCTGGAGGAGCGTGGCACTGTGGCTTGGAGCGGAGAAAGTACAGCGGAGGGTGCTATTCTTGTTAGCCATACTGGAAAGAGAAAGATGCCTTAATGACTTAAGACAAAGTTTATTTATTTTTACAGATAATATATATTCCTGCAACCTTCATTTCTACATTATTTTTATTCTAGTTACAGTGGGGCAAAAAAATTATTTTGTCAGCCTCCAGTTGAGCTGTTACTCCCGCATAAAAAGAGAAACCTGTAGTCTTTATCATGGTTTATCTCAACCGTGAGACAAAATGAGAAAAAGAAAAATCCAGAAAATCACATTGTCTGATTTTTAAAGAATGAATTAGCTAATTATGGTGGGAAATAAGTATTTGGTCTCTTACAAACAAGCAATTTATCTGGCTCCCACAGAGAGGCTTCTCTGTCCTCCACTTTACCCGTATCAATGGTGCTTGTACCCATTACAAGAGCAGGTCTGTCTGAAGTTTGCTAGAGAGCATTTGGATGATCCAGAAGAGGATTGGGAGACTGTCATGTGGTCAGATGAAACCAAAATAGAGTTTTATTTTAATTTTTTTGTTTCCACCATAATTCGCAAAATTATTCTTTAAAACTCAGCCAATGTGATTTTCTGGATATTTTTTTTTCTCATTTAGTCTCATAGTTGAGGATAAAAATTACAGGCTCTCTCATCTTTTCAAATGGGGGATCCTGCACGATTGGTGGTTGACTGAATATTTTTTTTACCCCACAGTACATGTAGAAGTTATCTGCTGTTAAGACCTGAACCGTGTCTGGTATGTAGTGACCAGCAAATGGAAAATCTAATGTAATTCATTACTCTGCCAATGGAAAATGCATTTAGCGTGAAGCTTTTGCATTAGTGAGAAAATGTACACACACACACACACACACGCTCACACACACACACACACACACACACACACACACACACACACACACACACACACACACACACACACACACACACACACACACACACACACACACAAAATGCTGCAGAGAGAAAGCATTTTGTCTTTTTAGCCACTATTGCCACTTAGTAGCAGCACATAGATCAGTGAAAACAGTCAAGAGAAAAGTCAGGAAGTAAAATATTTGTTGAAATAGAATAACTCATATTTGGTCTAAATAAATAATCACTTAAAAGAAACAAGCAGCAAGTTAGTATATTAAGCTGGATCAAACAAATAAAATAATAAAATAAAATAAACCAAAAGAAATAAGAAACTAATCAATTATAGTCTCATATGCATGTTCTTTTCTCCTGCTGAACAAATCTAAATATCTCAGATATGGCTGTTTTCATTATTTGTCAAGCTGAGTTATGTTAATGTTTTATGATTTCAAGACCCAACAGACAAACATTACACGTAAATGAAAAACTAACCAGAACGCTTAAACATTTAATAAATATTCATGAGACCTTGAGAACAGGTTCAGTTTTAATATTTCAGCTGTTACGTAAATGTAGGTCAAACAAATAATAATATATTAAAAATCATAAAAATAAACAAAGATAAATAATAACTGGTCAAAAAATAATCGTGAAATTTTCTGATGCTTGTTTTTAACATTTCTAATTTAAAGTCATTCTCAACACTGTATGAGGTGAATTATTTAGCACTAAATCATAAACTAAAATAACACACACACACACACACACACACACACACACACTTTCAACTTGATACTAAACTTGACGTAAAAAATAAAAAGAACAAAAATTAGACTCATACTAACATTCAAGCCGAACAATTTTACTTTGCATGTAGATAACGAACCATAAACATTGTCGTTATTTTAACAAAGATGTCGTTTTTAAACAAAATTCCTAAAGACCCTGCTGACGCAGAGCTGGTGCCCGGAGGCCCGAAAAGCTCCTCGGTGTTTCCTGAGTGACTGATGCGGCTCGGGCTGGTCTGGAGGCCGGTGAGGACCACCCAGAGACAGCCGACTGCTACGCTAATTGACCTCATCCTCATCACTCACTCACCTGCTTTGCGAATGTTTCTGAGCAAATTCGCCACCATCGGACTCCGCCATCTTCTAGCACCGGACAACACGCATATGGCATTTTCAGGAATGTTAGCAGGGAATCACGACTGGACGGTCCATGCTGTTTTTAGATGTTTCAAAGCAGCTCTTTACTCCGGTACAAACGGAGAACGGAGCGCCTGTCTGTCTGAGTTCCTATGGAGAACATGGGGATGAAGAACTCTACCGGCGGTCAGCTTCGACCATCCGCTGCTAATCTGCTATCTGGCCACAAGGGGGCACTAGAGTCAAGTCAATAATACTCAACTGTACATAAAACATGTAATACCATTAAGTTTGCTGCCTAAACTTATAAACAATCTCTCTGCGTGTATTAATACGCGAGTTTAATTGTATCTGGTCAGTTCAGTTCAAAGTAACGTCTTTACACGCAACTGTCTTTAAATAAATTGATCGAAAGAGAGGAGGAGGCTAAGCTTATTTTTGCACTTTAATTCTGTAATATAATGAAAAAATGAGCAGCCACTATATGGCTGAGAAATGTAGTTTAAAAAAATACATCAATGTTTTAAAGTGTATGTAGATAAAAATTTTCAGAAACTGAACCAGGAACATCAAAATGTCTGGTAAAAAGAAACGACCAGCCTATGTTCAGTTTTCTTTCAATGTGATTAATAATTTCGGATTCCTATAAGGGATTCCCTTGCATGAATGAAATCGGAGAAACCCATTTGAACATGCAGTCAAAACAGAGAGCAATACTGACCGCACATTGTTTATCAGATGCACTTTCCTCCTATCTGTGGCCAAGATCAAGAAGTTTTTATTTTGATGTGGTGAGAAATAAACATGGTATTGTCTGCAATGCAAAACAAGGAGATCCCTCGTTTTATTCTTCAGAACCAAACTAATAAATGTCGAACCAGCACAAAGAATTCTACGTTTCTGAGAAATTTAACTGCACTATATTCTGCCAATCTGTCAGCACTTCTCACAAATAAACAGGTCATATTTTACTCTGAACAAAACCAGCTAGATCTGCAAAAGTGTCTTTGGTAATGAGCAATGGTTTTCCACCTTGTGAGAGCTACTGTTTTAAGGTCAAACCTTTTACGACCACTTCCTGCTGTGCGGCTCTCACCATGCTTGTGTTTTAATTCCTCTGCCACTGCATTTGCTTTTGTTTTTGCTCATGCACATCATTTTAAAACTAACCAACAAAGGAAAAGACTTTATTTGCACATTCATTTTGTACAGAAAACAACTAATACACACATTGTTGAATACATTTAGTGTTTAACTTTGAACAAACTTAAACAAAATCTTTTTTTGTCCTAACCTACATCTGAGCGTGTGAAAATCAAATTCTAAGATTGAAAACCCTAAATTAAACCTGGAATTTCTTAGGATTTAATAATGTGCAGAAATAAAGCAGTAGGGTACTTCCTGCTTTCATGTACAGTACTTACTCCAGGAGACTTTCATATAGAGTCCATTGCATGATTCTGCAGGGCAGTTTCACAGTCCACCTGATTTAAGAAGATTCTGACTTTACATTGACCACCAAACCGTTCCTGTATATCAGCCTGGCAAGTTCTGCCATCTGTGGCTTGCACAAAGTCTGATCTGCTGAGTCAAGACTCAAACCCTTGTCTTCAGATCCTGCTGAGTCACTTCTCTCCTTCTTCATGTCCTCATCACTAGTGTCGTTGCATTCCCCTTTGAGGACACTGGAGATGGAGGTTTCATCTGAAACAGGTGTCTGCTCTGGAACAGGCTGGTGCAGTGTAAGTTCGTGCACTTCCTCTTTTGCGTTGCACATCTCCTGCTACGAGTAGAAAACATGTTCAAGTTTCTGACAGAACTAAGTTCTGAGAAATTCTTGCTGATTCCTGATATTTAAATAAAACAAGAATGGCTGGTTTTGTGACAAGTTGCAAGATAATCAGATCAAATTTATTATCTGCATATTATTTTTATCATCTATTCAATGTTTCTAGGTTATCTTCTTTTTACGGTCATACATCATGATGTCACAATAGAGAAAATTAGCGTGTCTCAACTAGTAGAAGCTAACAGTTAGCATTAGCAACTCCACAACATGGCCGAAAATGTTTGTGCTTGAGTTGTGCCTCTGCCGGGGCGCCCCAGGGCAACTGTGGCTACGTTGTAGCTCATCAGTGTGTGAATGTGTGTGTGAATGGATGAATGATAACACTGTAGTGTAAAGTGCTTTGGAGTCCTTACTCTGAGAGGCGCTGTACAAGTGTGGGTCATTTATCATTTATCATATTTGCAGAGATAAAACATCAACGTTGCAGAACAAATGGGGGCAGTGGAAGAGTTGCATTGCTGTTAGCCAAATCAGAGACAAGATGTTCAAATATAACAAATGTCAATGAGACCACTGCAGATTTATTGACATATCAAGTGTATGCCCTTTTTAAATTTGCATTCGAGCGCATGTGTGGGTGCATATGGGTCACAACCATGTCACAACGTAAGTGATTTCTGGATCTAGAGCGACTACGTCTCTTCACACATGAACTTCCCTGTCTCAGCTGCAGATTCTCAGCAGGTCTGCTAAGCTATTGCAAACAGCTGGATGGAACGGGTTTGCATTATCATGCTGTGACCCTCCCCATAGTCTCTAATGGTGTATTCACATCTGGGCTGGCCCAGCCTAGCTCTGGTAGGTTAATTGTGTTCACATCTGGGTAATCTGTGCCTTTGCCGTGCTCATCCGACAAGTTTTGCCAGACCTGCTCCCTGCTGGTCAGCTTGGAACTGAGCCAACCCAACACACCCACTATGAGCTGATTGGCTGGCTGAAGTTCATGCCTACCTACTAACTGGAGCCTCTGATTGGTGGGTAGAGTCAGCCAGCAACGGCTTCCCATATAGGCAATTCATTATCAGTCTGGATGCAATGGCAAAGGAATGGTAAATATCTTCTCTGACTGCCGTTTGGACCTGCGGTGGTAGCGTGAGGACAGACTGCTGTGCAGTATCGCTGCTCAGTGAGATAGTAGGAAGCTGTGTGTTTCATGTCAGAGTGTCCAAAAGCAACACTGCTCATGCCCACTTTTGTTTACTAACTTAAGGAGAACACCACACACTTGTGACGACAACTAAAAAGGCGCTATACAAAAACAGGCCATTTACAATTTCCATTTACTTTATGTGAGATGGATTTTGAGTAAAAACATCATGAACACGTTTTGCATAAACCATAGAACTACTATAATGTAAAAAATTATCACAACATGTTTCCTTTAAGCTCGCGGAGTCCACAGTCCAACGTAACAGAGAGTGGAAAACAGGTGAAGCTGCATGTGGAAGCAGATTGGGTGCTAAAAAGTGTCAGGTATTTCCAAAAAGGGTTTCAGAGAGAGTGAATGAAAAAGTGTACAAGACAGTGATGAGACCAGCTTGTATGGTTCAGAGAGAGAGAGTGTGTCCATGAGGTGTCTCCAGGTTGCAGAGCTCAAGATGTTGAGGTTCTCTTTGGGAGTGACAAGGATGGATAGGATCAGGAATGAGGCAGTCAGAGGGACAGTTTAGGTTAGACGTTAGAGATAAAGTCATGGAGGTCAGACTGAGATGGGTTGTCCGGAGGAGAGACAAAGAGGCTGAGGTTTGAGCCATCAGGAGGGAGGTTGAGAGGAAGAGCAATGAGGATATTTATGGAGGCAGTGAAAAAAACATAAAATTAGTTGGTGTTGGAGTAAAGGATGCAGATGATGGAGAAGAAAGGGCTAAAATCAAACAGTTTAACTCTTTTGTGCATTCGTAATGTTAAAATTTGCAAACATTTAAGTTCATTCCTGCCACTAGGATTTAAAAATGTAAAAATCTTGTAGCATAGCACATGGAGATGGTTAAGTCAGAATTATGAGATGCAAGATTTTTTAGTCAGAGTGGTGGGAATGGCCTTCCATAGCCCGCTGGAAAAACTGAAGAAGATAATTAGTCTTATTTGTTGATAAGATTTGATTTATTGAAATTTAAATATATACTTTTGGTCTTCTTGAAATACACTTCTAATTATACAATTTGCACCAAAACCACATTACTGTAAAATACAGCTTCATGTCAATTAAAACAAAACAAGAAATAAAGGGTTTAATGGGGTAAAAAAGTATGATTGAGAGGAAAAACACTATGGATCACCCAGACATGTTGGAGAATCTTATATAATCTATAAATGTTTCAGGAGTTGGATTTTCAAAACAAAAACGAGTAAGTCCCAAATGACTAATAGATAAATGCAGTTACTTACCTCCTTCTCTGGGTGGCGGGGGATGAAGTCTAGTATCACAGATCTTGGTACAGGAGGGAAGATCTTCATTTTAATTCTAAACATGAAAAAAAAATTAAAATACATTTTTGCATGTATGCATCAAATAAAGCCTAAGCTTTCATGGCAATAACTTCCATACAAATAAAGTAAATGTACTAGTGATAATGGCAAATAGACTTGACAAGGCAGTAGTTTGTCTCCTACCTCTTTATGATAACGGTAAAACCTGCTGAGAAGATGAAGAACATGACAAGCAACCCAAAACTCAGCCACACTGATTTAAAGAAGAAATCAGATAAAGAGAATAAAGGAGAACATTTAGAATTAATTACCTCACAACAGATTAATGAAAAACATAAACAATTGAATAGAATTAAAGGTTTCCTAAGTCTAATACCGTTAACAGACTTCTCTTGTAATGTTTCTATAATTTGTGCAGCTAGAAGTCCTTCTCCTGCTCTGGTCGCTCCAGCCAGGGTGATGTTGTATTTGGCTCCTGGGGTCAGATTCTCCAGGTGGTGTTCAGTCATTGATGCTGAGATAGTGAAGCACTCTGAACCAATAAGAAGAGGGTGAAGAGTTGAACATAGTGACTCTCAAAGACACTTCACAAGTAGAGCCCTGCACTGAAGCCCTAGGTCCTAGGGTCGGCCCGGCCCGACGGCCCGAGGGCCGGGCTTCGGGGCAAAGACTGTGTAATTACCTCGGACAGGGGCTGGGCACCTTTATTTTTAATCGAATTCATTAAAAAAACTGAAACACTTGAACGCAGCTGCACCTGCCTGCTTCTCACGCACCGTTAACTCTGTTAAGGTCTGTGTGGTTTATAAATGCGCCTATATAAACGAATTCTCAAACTGCTGATTGAAACATTGTCCTAGGCAACCGGGGAGGGACCATGGCTCAGGCGAGGTTTCGTGACATTGAGAAACACCCTTCAACTTCCTCTGCGAGCACATCGGACGACTCTTGTGTCGACACATATTGGAGTTGCATGTCTCTGTCCCAAAGCAGACAAAGAAGTATAGATCTGCAGACAAATGAGAAACACAAGGAGACACATGAGGGAGATGCAGACAAGGACACACGAGGGCACTAGGAGGCACAAAAGGAGATCCTAGAGACAGATGGAGATCACAAGGAGACACATTAGGGAAGACGCAGACCATGACATGGACAGGATTTCTAGGTGCAGCCAAGGTGTTGAGGGATCCGTTTTGGTGGCCTGAGGATGGGTTCTCTGCATTTTGCAGATGATGTGGTCCTGTTGGCTTCATCAGAATATGATCTCCGGCTTTCGCTGGAGTGGTTCGCAACCAAGTGTGAAGCAGCTGGGATGAGAAACAGCTCCACTGAATCTGAGACCATGGTCTTGATTCAGAAAAGGGTAGAATGCCTTCTCTGGGTCAGGGATGAGGTCCTGTCCCAAGTGGAGGAGTTAAAGTATCCCTGGGTCTTGTTCACAAGTGAGGGGAACTGAAGCACGAGATCGACAGGCGGATTGGTGCTGCGTCTGCAGTGATGCGGGCGTTGTACCGGTCTGTCGTGGTGAAGAGAGAGCTGAGCCAGATTTACTGGTCGATCTACGTTCCTACCCTCACCTATGTCACGAGCTTTGGGTAGTGACCAAAAGAACAAGATCGCGGATACAAGCGGCCGAAATGAGTTTTCTCCGCAGGGTGGCTGGGCTCTGCCTTAGAGATAGGGTGAGAAGCTCGGTCATCCAGGAGGGGCTCGGAGTAGATTCGCTGCTACTCTAAATCGAGAGGAGCCAGTTGATGTGGCTCGGGCATCTGGTCAGGATGCCTCCTGGACGCCTTCCTGGTGAGGTTTTCCGGGCATGTCCAACCAGGAGGAGGCCTAAAGGGAGACCCAGAACACGTTGGAGGGATTATTCTCTCATCTGGCAAGGGAACACCTTGGTATTCCCCCAGAAGAGCTGGTCCAAGTGGCTGGGGAGAGGGACGTTTGGGCCTCTCGACTTAGGCTGCTGACTCTGTTTAAGCGGAAGAAAATGGATGAATGGACAAGGAGGCGGCTGCCAGAGGAGCACAGAGGCTGAGAGGCTTTGTAAAGTAAAAGCAGTTCCAAAAGATAAGAAGGTCCAAAGACCATTAATACACTTAAAAACCATTGAGAGAACCTTCAAATCGATCCTGAACCATACCCAGAGCCAATGCAGCGATTCTAAAACTGGTGTAATGTGCTCCCTCTTTCTGGTCTTCATCAGAACACGTGCTGCAGAGTTTTGTAAAAGTTGTAAGCCTGAAATGCTCTTTTTAGGAAGACCAGAAAGCAGGGCATTACAGTGGTCTATTCTACTGGTGATAAAAGCATGCATCAGCATCTCCGTATTGGCCCGAGAGAGAATGAGGCGGACTCTGGCAATGTTCTTTAGATGATCAAAACCTATTTTTGTAATGTTTTTTATGTCTGGGATAAAAGTCAGCTCAGTCTCGAAAATCACACCCAGGTTCTTGACTTGTAAGCAAGGATTAAAAGACAGTGATTGTAGTTTTGGTCAAAGTTTCTCTCTCTGGGCCTCGGGACCTATGACTAAAACTTCAGTTTTGTCCTGGTTGAGCTGGAGAAGTTTTCTGCCATCCAGGATTTGATGTCTAAAATGCAGTTAAAAAGTGCGCCCATTGGCCATGTGTCATCAGGAGACACGGAGATGTACAACTGTGTATCATCAGCGTAATTGGCGTTTGTGAGGTGACGCAGAAGATGGCACAAGCAAACAAATAGCCTACTGTTTGTGCAGCTTTAAAATTGCTGTTATTAAACTCCTAACACCAAAAAACACAGCAGAAATCCTCCACAATGATGTAATTCATTGGACTTTGTGGTCACACAAAGCATAATTAAAAATGGAGCTTTTTCTGCTTATTGAATGCCACTTTTTATATCACACAGCAGCTCTCCTGGCTCTCCAAATGGATTAAATCATGCCATAATTGAACATGATAAAACTTTTATGTTACTAATGTCTGTGAATGCTTTTCGGCACTGATCAGTGACATCACTTACTGCTGAAGCATTCGTGATATACTGACATCCAAGCAAAATGCGGAAAGGGGTGAATTTGTATGGAGACACAACAGCTGAGAGGCCCGGGCCATCAGATCTCCCTGTCACTTCCAGAAATTACCCTGAAGTTTTGACAGTGGAAACACACCTAATGGGAACTTGTCTTTTCTGGATCCATTCCCTAGTGGATGAGGGGGGGAACTGCAATTTTTGTCACTTCTGTGTTGACTTTACTTCTGACAGGTGAAGTCTGCTCTTCGGTGCAGATACATCAACAGAAGCCTTATTGTGTCAATAATTCAAATTCTTAAAAATACACACAAAAACAAAACAAAAACGTAGTCTTCCATACCTTTGGGATCTTTCTGCGGACTGATTTTCATGCTGCACAGGCTGTAGTGTGTGAGGAAACCTCGGTGGTGCTCATATGAAATCTCCTTCCAGGACAAGGACACAGAATGTGTTTTAGGAACGGTTTTGTCGTACTGCGGCTCCTTGTTGGGAGCTGAGTAAAAACAGGAACATTGCAAAACGATCAGACGTTGAGAATTTATTTTAATTATGATGAAATGTCTCACTGAAGACACTCACCACCCTCTTTCAGATAAAAGAGGCACACTTTAACTGTCCGTGGTTTGCCATTGTGACATCTGTGTTCAAAGTACAGGTAGCGTGTAAAGTTTTTCATGCCTGTAACAGAACCACAACGCATGTTTCATCCCTCAGTGGAACATTTTAACCCTAGTGTAGCAGGGTGATCGTTTGCAGCTGGGGGATGCTGCTTAACCAATCACCTGTTGAGGGCACCCTGTTATAAGGACAGTGGTTTGTTCCCTCGGGTGATCGCATCTCACTAAACTTGACATTTACTTCCGGGTTGTCGAGCCGGTCATGTATTCAATTCAATTCAATTTAATTTAATTTAATTTAATTTAATTTAATTTAATTTAATTTAATTTAATTTAATTTAATTTAATTTAATTCAATTCAATTCAATTCAATTCAATTCAAAGATACTTTATTAATCCCAGAGGGTAATTAGAGAGTATGTGGTTGGGCTTGGAACTCTCAGCGCAAACTTAGTGGCTGGTGTCTGAACAATCGGCTCTGGGACGTACTCGTGTTTCGCCAGCTCAGGTGGGCAAACCAACGTCTAAGACTCTGCTGTTTAGCTTCTCTGGATTTTTTTGATTAGTTCCCGGCTCCCACGAGTAGAGGACACGAGCTCCCTGCATCGACTGGTGTGTGGGTGCGTGGATGTGACAGCGGCCGGTCCTGCTTGATCTATACCAGATCAGATTCACAGCTGCCAACGACATCAAGACTAGACTAGACTATAGTGGGACTCCACTCGGGTCCAAGGAGGACCACCTCTCCGGTGTCTCCAGCAGCATAAACCTTCGAGCTGTTTAGCTCTCTGCTGTGCGTGGCACACGTGTGGCACCAGGGGTGGACTGGGACCAAAATTTGGCCTTGAAATTTTTATGTACTGTCAGCCCTCGGCAGGGGAGGTTGCTGCTCGCGACTCGTCTATCCTGCCAAATGTGGGGGGAGGGACGGGGTGTTGTGTGTGCTGCTTGCGGACTTGTCTCTATAACCGCATGTGAAATGGGGGCTTGGTTTGGGATGCCCCAAGCTGGGCAAGTGGCCCGCTTGGCTAAGCGGCCCACCGGGACAGTGGCAGAATGCCAGATAGGCCAGTCCACCCCGTCTGGTGCGCATCTGAGTGAGAGTGATTGTTCTTTTAAAATAAATGATTTAATTGTATTTTTTATTTATTTTAGACAGCCTGCTACTCCTGGCTGGTGAACTGGCAGGCTGTCCATCTTTTTGTAATTCGTTTAGCCAACTGTTGGTTGGTTTTGTTTTTAACAGTTTCTTTCTTTTATTGCAGGCTGTTTGCTCCCAGTGGAGTACCATCGGCCTTGGTGGCGAGAGTTTTCCATGCGTGTGTGTGTGTGTTCCTTCACCGTGCACCTCCTGGATGCATGGCACTGTGACGGGTGACTTTAGTTTGGCTTGGTGTGTATTTTTTGGTTGGCCGAATTGGACTCTGGTAAGCTTCAGCCTGTTCAGGTTCATTTAGTCTCTTTTCTTTTTCTTTTTTATTTTAATGAAAGCAAGTTATTGGTCAGACCACATCTCCTGCCTGATCTGAGTGGACGTGTGTCTTTATTTCCTGGGGTGTAACTCCCCAGGTGGCATTGTGTGTTACTGGCAACTACAGCCACCCTGGGATGCCACACTAGCTCATCAACATGAGGTCAAAAGCATGGATGTAATTGGGGGGGGGGGGGGGGCATGCCCCCCCCCCCCCCCCACACTTTTTCCAAAGTCAAGTTTTGACCCCTGCACTTTTTACCATCCAAAAACAATATTATGCTAAAGTAAATTGACACTGGTTGGGCTCTAGGACCAAGCGGAAAACAACCGTTTGTGTTGAAGCCTGTTTCCCATTAGAGCATACCGTAAAGATACCCCCCCCCCCTCCCGTGTCCCCCCATTTCCAAAGTGAACATTACGTCCATGGTCAAAAGTTCAAAATGTTGCCCTAAATGTCTGGAAATATCAATGAGGTTTGGTGTAAATTTGAATGATGATCAGAATAAATAGAATTAATTGATACTTACTGCTTTTAATTCCCTCTCCTTTCTTCTGTTTTCTAGCTGTTAATACGATGACACTTTCTGGATTTAAATCTGCATCCTGAAGCTCATACAGCTCAAGACAAGTTCTCCTCCTTAGCTTTTCATTCAGTAATGTTTGGTCACAAACTGGCGGAGAGGAAGGAGGAAACAAGACTGGTTTAGGTGAGGAAATAAACATGATGTGACACTAAAACGCATGTCGACTCTGAGAACTACTTTTTAAATCTGCTGCAGAAGCAGCTGGTACATGGAGGACTGTTTCAGGTGACTTCCCCGCTTCATTTCTGGCAACAACAGTGATGTTGACGGCCGAGTAAGACACATGCAGGGTGTGATGGTTGCTGTTTCTGCTGGTGTGGCTCTTTTTCCTCTTACAAGGACATCCATGAGAAGAGTGTGTGTCAGTCACACTGTATGTCACTCCTCTGAGTGTTGCTTGATGTGGGATCGGCTAAGGAGCAGGAAATCAAGTGGAATTTATAGATTTATGCAAAAAATAAAAAAAATAAACGAACACATCCGCATGGAGCTCAAGCAACAAAACAGAGATAAATGGGGTGTTGCCTTTAATTATCCCTACCGAAAGTCTGAGTTTGAGTTACTAAAAGTGCAGTTTTATTTATCTTCTAATCTACTTAATTATATTTTATATTGAGTGTGAGTAGAACGCAGCTGCTGTGGGTCTTACAGTGCTTTGCAAATGTATTCATACCCCTTGAACTTGAACTATAAATCTGACACCTTCCAACCACAAACGTCCCGCTGCATCAATAAAGCCACGTCTTGCAACAGTTACAGCTGCAGGTCTTTTGGGTATGTCTCCACCAGCTTTGCACAACTACAGACTGAAACTTTTGCTCGTTCCTTGCTGCAACACAGCTCTAGCTCACCCACATATGACAGAGAACAGCAATTTTCAAGGCTAGCCAGAGATGCTCAATGGGATTTAGGTCTGGACTTTGACTGGGCCAGTCTAACAGATGAATATAATTTGATATAAAGCATTTCCCCTGCCGGATGACCGAGCTTCTCACCCTATCTCTAAGGGAGAGCCCTGCCACCTTGCGGAGAAAACTCTTTTTGGCTGCTTGTATACGCAATCTTGTTCTTTCTGTCACTATACCCAAAGCTCGTGACCATAGGTGAGGGTAGCAAGGTAGATCGACAAGGTAAACTGAGAACTTTCACTTCCGGCTCAGCTCCCTCTTCACCACGACAGACCGGTACAACATTTGCATAACTGCAGACGCAGCACCAATCCGGCTGTCAATCTCATGCTACATCTTTCCCTCACTCGTGAACAAGACCCCGAGATAATTAAACTCCTCCACCTGGGGCAGGACCTCATCCCTGACCCAGAGAAGGCATTCTACCCTTTTCCGACTCAAGACCGCGGTCTCTGATTTAGAGGAGCTGATTCTCATCCCAGCTCCTTCACACTCTGCTGTGAACCGCTCCTGTGAGAGCCAGAGATCACGTTCTGCTGTAGCCGATGGGACCACATCATCTGCAAAAACCGGAGACCCGATCTTCAGACCACCAAAGTGGATCTCCTCAACACTTTGGCTACACCTAATCCTATCCATACAAGTTATGAACAGAATCGGTGGCAAAGGGCAGCCTTGGTGGACTCCGACTCTCACCTGGAACGAGCCCGACTTACTGCCGGTCACAGCAGATCATTAGTCGTCTCTTCTGCCTCCTCTACCCTCACACCAACTAACATCATGTCCTCTTTCACTGCATCTAAAAACCTATTTTTGGCACATTTTACTGCATCAAGAATTATTTTCTATTTATGTGCAACAATTTGTGTGACATTCCTAAAACTTTTGGTGGCTGTTGAAGAGATTTGCTGCACACCATTATTTTTACAAAGTGATGATCTCAAATCTTTTGTTTTTAGAGTGGACCTGTTTACTCGTAATTAGAACGCTAAGCCTGGCTTGCCAGACTCGTCCTCTGTTTAATTCTGCACAGAGAATGAGCAGAATTAAACAGAGGACGAGTCTGGCAAGCCAGGCTATTAGAACGCAGCTACTGTGGGTTTTAGTTATTTCCACTTTAGTCACTTACCTTCCAAGTCAGTGTCACCTGCCGAGTGCCATTTGAAAGTCTGCTTGTGTGATCAACTTCAAGTTTACGATCAAGCGCTGCACAGAAAGCACAAAACAGGTTTTATTTAGACTAATCCAATTCTGTAAAACTTAATCTGCTCACATTTTGCAGTCGGAGATATATGTTTTTTTCATTTAGAGAAATGTACTGTACTGTAACTCTCAGTGCTCTAACTGGAAAGAGACTCAAATCTCTGTGCTCTATAAATAAGTCTCCTGAAATAGTTTCTGAATAATGGCTGCAAAACCCGTGGTGAACGAGCTTTTTCTGTCTGCGCTCCAAAACTATGGAATAACCTCCCACTGAATATCAGACTCTTCTCCTCCGTTGGGGTTTTTAAGTCTCACTTAAAGACTTACTTTTATACTCTTGCTTTTACTACCTAGCTATTTTATCGATGGTTTATTTACACTGTTCTTTTACTGAATTTATTGACTTCTCATGGTTGGTTCTTTGTGTTTTGCTCTAGTTGTTTTATTCTTTTATATTATTCTTTTAACTCTATATGTTTTTACCCCTGTACAGCACTTTGGTCAGCTCACATGCTGTTTTTAAATGTGCTTTATCAAATAAATGGAATGGAATAGAATGGAATGGGTGTCACAAGTGGGAGAAGAGTCTTTATATTTTTTGTATCTGCAGCAGTTTTAATGTGAAGGACTCTCTGATCCATTTGATGATGAGTTTACCTGCAGGAACTGTAAGAAATGGCGACCAGTTGCTCCAGAGTGGGCTTTTGTATTTTATGGCCAGCTGTCTAATCCGCACCTGGTAAGCTGAACTCCTCACAAGATTTACGATGACAACATTATCTGTTCAGATGAATGGAAAAGACATTATTCAATAGTTTTTGACTGATTTTGTCCTCTTAATGACATTTTCAAACTTTCCCAGAACAATTATTATGATGTGTAGCAGAAATATTCACACACAACTGACATTTTTGCTTTTAATGTTCAAAGAGAGCAGCTTTTGTCGTTTGGGACAACATGACCCTTAAAAAAGAATAATTTTTGCACAGTAGATAAAAAGAACAGTAAACAGTTCTGCTGATGGAAAAACCTGTATATACAGCTAGTTTGTTTATAAAGTTTTAGTCTAAGTTAAATTTACACAATAAAATATTGTGACAAAAATCTGATTTAAACAAAGTTTTGCTTTATTATTGTTATCATTCTGCAACATTTACGACTAAAAGAAACGTTCCGTCCTACCTAATTCCTGTGACCTGACTCTTAAAGAAAAAGTTTTTCATCTAATGTGACTTTTAATTCTTTTCTTTTTTTATGTATTGCATGTTCATGGGGAACAGCAGTGTATCTCGAATGTAGATCCACCAGCAACAAATTCATCCAAGCTGATGTTGCCGTGGAAACGGTTCAGGTTATTTTGTGTCAAAGTTGCAAAAAACCACTTTGAAGATGTCGAGGAGCCACAGGAGGAAGATCCTTGGGCTAGTCTGAGCATAACGTAATGAACTGTGGGTTGCTGTCATCTTAAAAACCCACTAATGAAAATCCTGATTTTTCTGTTGTTAGCATATTCCTTAGACATTTTCTATGCTACAGGACATATCTAAAGAAATTTAAGCTCCAAATTGCATTTCTGCATTAAAAATAATCAGTCTAAAACTTACTGGCTTTGTTACATCACAAAGCCACTGGGCAGAGCACAAACTCCACTAGTAGAGAAGAAGATGGATATTTGCATTTTCAAATGTTAAAGGAGTAGCTCAACTAGTAAGGAACCAATTATATATATATATATATATATATATATATATATATATATATATATATATATATATATAATTTTTTTCTAGTAATATGTATTACTGCTTAAGTTTCCAAAATTTCATGGTGGTTCACGCAAATGTTATTTTATAAGCTTTTGTACCACCATCAGTTTTAAGTACATGATTATTTTTACAGAAATCTAAAAGAATGTCCTGCGGCGCAGAACGGCAGAGGAGTGTTGCTGCTTCAAATAGAATTATAGTCTTTGGAGTGTTTCAAACCAGCCGCAATGCCACAATTTTCAAGTGCATCCCAGAAGCAGCACGCAGTGCTATGCCGCCAAAGACAGGATTGGGTTCTGTTTTTGTCACTAGCCGCTCCTGGGACAAGTCAATTTCCCCAGTTATCATAAGGCTAGACAGGAAGTCACACATGGTTTCAGTGTAAAATCCCCAGTAATTTTCAAAATAAAAGTACTGCAGCGATGCTATTTCCTATATATGAAGCTTAATGGATTATTTACTCCCAGCATCATTCGAGAAGTGCAGCGGTGTGTTTTTCATGGCTTTTATCCTGGCGGTGGAGAGGAACAGCCTCATATATGAAACCAAACGTGATTTCCTTCTTTTTGGTTTAATGGCGGTGTCGGTATCAGATCTGCTCAGGCAGCAAGATCGGCTCCGGGTCCTAGCGTCTGCCAAATACGTCACAGTAGATGATTGGCTGAACATAGAACTTACGGAAGTTACGATATCACATTACGTTAGCACGTTGGCAATGAATATTTTGATTGGTCAGAACAAATTAACGATTGAGAAAAATGTTTTCATTTCCAAAGCAAATGTAAAATAAAAGCAAAGATATCAACTGATAAACTGTGACCCTCAAAAGCTCTTGATTTTGATCAAATGGGGCAAAGTACAGGCCGGTATTCAATTAAAGGCCGGGTCCGGTGTCAGAGTCAGCGGAGGTAAATAATGGCCGGTCTCTTTTTGTGGCCGGATGGAATGTGGTAACAAGCAAGTACACGCGTCCCAGCGGCAGGGTTGTAGTCCCTAAATCATCCAGCAGGGGGCAGTAGGGGTTCACGCAGACATTTATTAAGCTTTTTCTTCAAGCTTTATAACGCTTCAGACACGATCCTCTATCACGCTCCTACCACACAGAGTCACGGTGTCAGTTAACCATGCTAATTCAGCCCGCTCCACAGAACACACATCACCTTCCCTGTGGCTTACATAACACTCACACAACACGCAAATCAGCACATAGGAACTAGCAGAACGATAGGAAACACATATAAAACAATACCCAGAATGCACCTGGCTTACAACCCCAGCCAGGTCATTACACTATCAAGTTCAAAGAGAACGTGCTGATTATGCTGCAGAACACTCTGGGGAGCAGCAGTAGGGGGTGTATGAACTACAGTAATCCCTCGTTTATCGCGGTAGATGCGTTCCAGACCTGGCCGCGATAGGTGAAAATCCGCGAAGTAGGGACTCCCAGCATGCCCCTCGCGGGGATTCCCTCCACGTCGCACCTACGTCACAATCCGCAGCTATAAACGGAAGTCGCCTTTACAGCTCAGTCATAGTTTCTTCAGATTCATGATCAGAGTTTCCAACCTACCGATCAATCCAACGAACTATCAGCTCATAGTAAGTTATCTTACTTACTTCTGGAAAGCCCGGCATTTCCGTGTCACTTCGTTGACGCTCGAACGCTCGGGGGTTTCCTAGCCGGCGTTTCACCGACGCTCTCACTTCCGCGTCTGTGAAACCACGCTCCCTATTGAATTATCGTATGATCACATTCTCTGTGATCAGCAATGCGCTGTGCCAGACCGTAGGTACTGACACGCGATCGTTCATGTCGGTTCATTTCCTTTAATGTTTTCTGTCTTTTATTTGCGCCTGATGCGTTTCGCTGCATGCTGTGGAGCGGGGCGGTGCGCGCATCAACTTGTGCTCCAACGCACTGATCGCTGATACGGCTGCCAAACAGCAAGCGCTCCGCTGTTTTTGCGGTCGGTAGATCTTTTAGAACTGCAGTTCAAAGGTAACTCATGAGGTGAATATATATGAACCCAGGCAGCAGTTTTTCTTTAGGATTGAGAGGAGATGCAGGAAGATAATAAACAGACAGGACAGAAAAATAGTCAAATAAAAACAAGTTAGTTTTTGTACCTGCTGTTGCAACATACAGACACCATTGAAGGTAATCAGAAGTGAGGAACAGAAAATGAAATAATTATTTTAATGTTTAGAGCAGCAGGAACTCCGAGAGGCTGCAGGCACATCAGTGAGTTTGCGGCTGCTGCGCAGGGGGAGGGGGGAGAGGGCTGCAGCAGAAACTACCGTTGTTAAAAGAAATGTGTTTAACTTTGAAAATGTGGGCACAATTTTAATTGTCAAAAACTCCAGCAAACCATTAGTTCATTTTGCTCAAATAGAAATAGAGGCCTGCCTCTAATACTGGCCCTCCTTCCAATAAAGACCTGGAGCTTGATGAGCTTGAGTCAAATACAGGCCCGGGCCTGTATTAGAGGATTTACGGTAAGAACTTTATTGAAAAGACAGCAAGCAACATTTTGAATGAATGAATGAATGAATGTATTTACATAACAACTAAGGAAATATACAGATACATTCCACATTTATACAAACAGATGTGGCTTCACATATAAGAACTGTTGTTTTTTGGCAGTTTGATGACAAAACAAAGATAATATGGTGTTTTCTTTATAATTGTAATTTGTTAATAAAACATTTAGGTGTTAACAAACAAGAATTTATTAACAAAACTGCTGATGTCTTTCCAAAACGTATGTGTGAAAGCCAAGTCGACTGGCCGTAATGTGACGTCATCAGCAGGCGCACAACCCCGAGCCAATCCAGCAGCCCGAGCAGATCTGGTACCGACACCCGATTGCATAAACAAACCATGACTTTTAAAGTCTCGAGGAATTTTGCTATTTCGCAAGTGAAGCGGGGACGCCGCCCTGCAGCCAAGACTCTCCCGAAATGGACAGCATTCAAGCTCATGGGTAAAACGTTCCGCTGCCGTTCCATGTCGCTTGATGCTTCCAGTGTCAAACCCGGGTGTTAATTTTTAATTCTTATTACTTCCATATAAAATAGACATGCAAATTTCATAATGTGAAATTGTTGGTCCTGTCAAGTTTTATTTGATAAAATTGCAGCATTAAAAACCTTTTTCCAGGTTTTCATTTCATGATGATTTGTTGTAAATGAGTTTCATGGGTAACTGAAGTGCGCCTCTAATGTAGATCCAACAACTGCATAAAAACACACGTCCCAACAAAAATGAAAAGTACATAATGTCCAAAACCTGTAATTGAAATAAAGTAATGGACCGTACTCACACTCGTTGGTAGTATTTATTAATCTCTGTGAGAACAAGAAATTATTAAATTAGTAGAAAAAATATCACAAAAGGTGTTTGATTTGAGGATCTAACAATGAAAGTGGATTCTCACTTTTTCACTTGATTCCACAGGATTTCCATATTTTCTAAACCAGACTTCTGCTAAAGCTGGACAACCCTCTGCAGCCTGCCAGCTTAAACTGAGGTTGTTTCTTACCCAGGACACTGAAATATTTTGCGGTGCGTCATATTTAACTGTTGAGAAAAATAATTTAAGTGAATACATATTTAATTGCTGTGAAGGGAAAATAACAACAGCAACAAAACTCTGCCTGAAGAGTATTCCTGTAGCAGCATTCAGTACCTGAGTCTATTAGTAAAGCTGACACGTTGGGTGATGTGCACGTTGCATTTCCAGCCTGAGCTTCCACCCAGATGTCGGCGCTATAACTGACTGTTAGGGGGATTTGGTCGACGATCTCGGTCTGGTTCGTCCTAATGTTCTCAGTTTTTTGTTTTTTACCAAAAATATCCCTGCAGAGAAAAATATAGATTGATAGACATTTTTGGTGTGACTCAAATGAAGGTCTATGGTTTATTTGGGCATATTTACACACATACCTCGTCATCATCAAGGACTAAGCCCAACATTAATTAGTATACATTCTACTTCAGGGGTAGACAACTCTATACCCCGAGGGCCGGCATGTTTTACTGTCTCCAACACACTTCATTTCCCTGCTCAGAAGCTGCAGAATCCTGTGAATCACCCGTTGTGTTGAAAGGAGTTGTCTACCCTGTCCTACATCATCAGGGATGAACTGTACCATAAAACACATAATTCATTCACATTGGATTTATTATTCAGATCAAAAGTATGGAAAACAGGTCACCTGAAGCAAAAATGCTTTTGGTGTCTACCCAATGGCATCATTGTTTCATCATAATATATGTCATATACACAGCCCATCAGTGTGCCCATGTTTCATGAGTTTTCTTAAAGCTAAGAGAGGACTAAAACGGTTTTAAACCAAAGCACTGAAATGAAAAGTGATCTTAAGTGTATCTTTTTCATATTGTCAGAAATAAATGTGGCATAAATGGACTACTTCCAGGTAATTTTCATTCATTCATAAACCTAAACCTAGTAATCATACATGAACTTTACAAAAACACTTTAATTTAAACCAAACCTTTTAGGTTTTACTATATCAAATCAAATCAAAATCAAGCTTTATTTATATAGCACTTAATCATACAGTGCATGTAACTCACAGAGCTTAACAAATTATAACAGTCTGAGAATAAAAAACCTTTCACAACACTCATCCTCCGCAATGTTGTATAACTACATGGACGTATTTTTTTTGGGGGGGGGGGCGCCTGTCCCCCCCACTTTTTCCAAAGTCAAGTTTTGACCCCTGCACTTTTTACCATCCAAAAACAGTATTATGCTATATTAAATTGACACTGGTTGAGCTCTAGGACCAAGCGAAAAACAACCTGTTTCCCATTAGAACATACTGTAAAGATATATATATATATACAGTATATGTATATAATATATATATATATATATATATATATATATATATATATATATATATATATATATATATATATATTATGTACTTCAGAAAAACATTTCTTTTATATTATTAAAAATCTGTTGTGATAACATAGCCTTTAGTTCTTCAACAAGACTATACTGTAAGTTCCTCTTTGAGTTATACTAAAGCTTTTAAATGTACGAAGGTCTTCCACATGGTGCTTTCATTTCATACTTGGGGAATTTGCCCACTGAAAACAATAGGTAACAGTATACAAGTTAATGGTTGGACTATGCTGTTTATCCTGCCAATCAGTAGATTTATTTATTTTTTTACAAGTTAAGTCAAGTTGATTCAGAGCAAAGCTATTCTCAGTGACTCATTTCACAACATTAAAATCCATGAATATTTTTGATTTTTCTGCACAAAGGCCTAAATCCTGAATACAAAGTGTTCATTCACTTTCATAGTAAATGACCTGTTTTTAGCGTCTTCTTAGGGTTCTTAGGGTTCACCCATTCACAAGCAGGTTCGGATGAGCTATGATGTATCCACAGCTGCCTTGCAACGCACAGGCGAGGCCTGCCATACCACAGTCCCTTTGACCACCAGGCAAGGCAGGTTAAGTTTTAAGTGTCTTGCCCAAGGACACAACAGCAGCATTATCTGGTGGGAGCCGGGATGGAACCTGCAACCTTCTGATAGCTGCCTCCCGAGCTACTGCTGTCCCTTTCATGACTGGACCTAATATATAAAGTTCGTAAGCTGTGTGTGCTCATTCTACCAAGATGACAAAGTTCTGCAATGCATTAGCTTCACTTTCAAGCAGTAAGTCCAATCATGCGTCATCCTTGGAGAACTGAAACAATTAATGTTATTGCATGTGGTTCAATTCCACTTCCACAAATGACCCACAATACCATAAATGAAGATGCCAGCCCTGCTGCTCTGTACTCACGTAAAGTAAAGGGTAAACGTCACATCACTCTCGTTTGTGTTGAAGCTCCATTCACAAATGTAAATAGAGGCTACCTCATTTCTTCTGAAGCACTGAGGACTGGAAAGAGCACCGCATGCTGACCCTAAGGAGAAAACGCATTTCAAACTGAATTAAGTAGAGATGATTTTGATCAAATCAAGAGCCGTTAGACTGGATCAAATCAAAGCTCTGAACTAATCAGCGCTCCAACAGCAGATTAAATGTGACTTCAACTTTGTTAGAGCATTATTGAGTCTGCGACAGACTGCATGTAACCTGTTTGAGGAAACCACACAAAGCTGATAAAACCAGTGTTCTGTGGCTAATTGAATTTAAGACATTTGTCACTTTCATGTGTTCTTACATCATCTTGAGTTTGTTGTAGTTAAATAAGATTAAAAATCTCTGAAATTACAAAAACTCATATAGCAAAACTGTCAAAGATCAGAGGTTTTCAAGCAGCTTACCTTTGCTGATTGCTGCGAGGAGAAATAACAACACATATCCATATCGTGATCTCCAGTGCCTAAAAGTTTCCATGAGGTGAGGTGAGGTGCCAAAGATTATGATCATTTCCCAATGCAGGGAAGTCCATGTAGTCACCTGTCTTCATGTAACTGAACTTTCTCAGAAATGTCACAGTATCACATCTCAGTTTATATGAGTTAGAGCAAAACCACAAGTGTCGGGTGGGGGGAGGTTGTGTTCACAGCAGACATTTTCTGTACGAGACTCTTTGAAGTTGTTTCTTTGATTTTGGTTTTCTCATTGCTCTTGTGTCAACAGGTGATTTTTTTTCATGCTTCTCATCAAAGTAAGTCTGGAGGGAATTCTGGGAACTACAGCAAAAGCCCAGAGACACCTACATGTTGTGGTAGCACGTCAGTGCATAAAGACGATCTCAGAAAAGAACATTAAGTTTTGCTAACATTTTATTTGGGTCAAACTTTTTTGTGTCTTCAATTTATTTGATCTTTGGTTCTTTGGTTTAAGTGTTGCCAGTTGATCACTTTCCTTCCCCATGAACAAAAAAGTTCTCACAATTAGGAATGACTCATGCATACAGATTAAGATCTGACTTGTTTTTTTTTCTTTTAACAGGATAAACATGGCTTAAAAAATATGTCCGTTTTTTATGGAATGATTCCAATACCACTTTCTTAAAAGATTTAACTTTCAGAAATTGCATTTGGAGCTTGTGGACCAGAACACTTTCTAGTTATTAATTAAAGAAGTCCTCATCTGATTAGTTTTCAAATTAGACTCGCATCTGCTTCACGGACACATTTACACCAAACAATTGTTTGGCATTCAGAAGCCTAAACAACTGATCCTGCATCCACCAATGTTTTCATGTCATTCTTCCTCATTTTGCATCCTCTTTCTGTTCCCCATTTCCCATTTATGAAGTTTCAGACTAAATCACTTGCACTTTCATTTGGCTTAATGAGTGTACAACAGTTACCAAAATAGAAACCCAGAAACTGACTGCTTAAGCCACAGTTTCTGTGCAACTTCTGAAAATCTGCACACTCAGTGGTTGAAAGACAATGGGTTCTGCAAACCCTCAAGGTGCTTCACAACACAGTCATTCACCTGTACACACACACACATTCACATGCTAGCGACAATGAGCTACAGCATAGCCACAGCTTCCCTGAGGCTCACTGACTGAAGCGAGGCTGCTGAACACAGACACCGATGGTTCCTCCGATCACCACCAACAGGCAAGCTGGGTTAACCCCTCCTTTCCTTCAGATGCAAAAGCTGCGCGTAACGTCATGGAGGCGTTTTACCCATGAGCTCCTTTCCAACTGGGAGCTCTTCAAATGCAAAAGAGGAGCAAAAGCATTCCATGCAGCTGATCCCACAAGGTCACAAAGTAATGAGAAATGTAACACCACATGTGATTTTAGAAGTTCACGATAACTGTCATGTTGTCCTTGTCTCCGGTGTCCCTTCATGGTTCCCCTCCTTATTGTGTCATTCACTTTGATTAGGTATTCTTATTATGCCCCTGCCTTTCAGTGTATTTATTTCTGTAACTCTTTAGGTCATTAGTTTATTTATCTTTAGTTCTCGTGTCTTTATAGTGTTTAGGTTAATTTATGTTCAGTAGCTCATGTCTTACATGTTTTTAGGTCTGGTTTCCTCCCCTGCTTGATTCTGCATATCCTCTCGGTTTATTAGCCTCACCTGTGCCCAATTCCCTTAATCACCCGGCCCCTGTGTATATATACCCTGTCTTGTCTCTCAGTGTTTGTTGGTTCATTGTCTGAGTGGGTCTCCAGTCAGCCTGTTGTAGCCTCCTGTTTTCTAGTTTCCTGTGTTTGACTTTTCCGTCCTGTGAGTGGTTTAGAGTTTTGAGTTGGCTCCCTGGGTTTTGAGCCTTTTGGATTCTTGTTTTCCCTGGCGCTCTCCAAATAAAAGGATTTGGGTTTTTTTTACCTTGTCTCTTTGTGGTTCTGGATATCTGCATTTTTTTGTCCAAGCCTCCTCCAAATTTGACAATGACAAGAATGAGGATAAACTGCAGCGTGTGTCCAAAAAAGTCTGTGGTTACTTTCTGAATATGACATAGATTTTTTTTTACTCGATAAGCAACTGGAACTCTGCATGTTACTTTTATTTTGAAAGTTTCTAGATGTTTTACACTGCTTTTGTGTTTGACTTCATGTGTGGCCTGAGCTTAACTGTGCAGTTTGACATGTTTTTGGATGTATAGCACGTAAAAATTACTCAAAACACAATGGCCATGTCCAAAATGTTAAACTGAGACCAGTGGAAAGTCACACTTTCATTATAACAGTGGCTAATTGCTGCTAAGTACATTTCATGTCTGGTGGGAAGTAGGTGTGTCTTGCCAAACGATACCGACACACTGAGTGGGACTTGTTCCCACAGCCATCAGGTTATGAGATGGGCACTTAACTTCTCTGTCACTTCTGTCCCACAATGTTTCCAGAAGGCCAGTTTCTCTGGGAGAGCTGGAAACATTTAACTTTGCTGTCAGTGAAAAGGAAACCATCCACTATAACAGTAGCTAAATGCCACTGTAACGTCACGTAATGGCCTGGTTTTAAGACTCACAGGTCAGAGACACAGTCTGGGTCACCTTGCCCTGGCTACTACTCCAATCTGCAATAGAGTCCTTCACAGCAGACAAAGTCTGCTGAACTCCTTTAATCTATGCAGCTGTCTGCTATTCCATCCAGCAAGAAGAGGACATTTCAAAATTTAAAAGAATCATTTAAATAAACTCTCTTTACTGCTAATCATCAAGGTTCATTATAAATGTGTTTAATTACTGAAATGAATTATTATTCTTTGGTTAATAATTATTTATGATAATCAGTAATGTTTAACTATGACAAGAAACATGTGCAATTAGTCAGCTCATACAGGTCACAGTAACTAAGTTAAAGGTAACTGCACTCACATGATCTTTTTCCAGAACACCAGAACTTTCTATCTTCAGGAGGGGTGGCTCTGAGGGTTTGTTAAATCTTCCTTCTACATGTCAAAACCTGATTCATTAGAAATGATAATAGCCATCTTTTAAAACAGATCTCTCGTCATTTGCGAGTGAGTTCTAGAGAAGGTTGGGACGGCCGCCCCAACGCTCTTTAACCAAACAAGCAATTTCTGTCACGTTGGCACAATTGCTCCAACACAACAAAACGATACCTTATGTTAAGAAGAAGAAGAAGAAGAAAATATTATTTCTATAGCGCCTCTCAAGATAAAAATCACGAGGCGCTTAAGCATAATTCTGCGCACACGAAGACGCATAAGAGACCTGGATGATGAACAAGTCCGGACCTGTTACTAGGGGCTTCGTCCGGTTAAATTACGGAAAACGTTATCCGGATGTTTGTATTCAGACACAAAGGTCTTACGGACAGAGTCCGGAACATTTCCATTTTTCATGGCCTGTTTGAAGGGGGCTTAAGTCTCTCCCTTTCCATTCGACTCATGGGTCCCTGGAAGAACGAAAAAATGAATGCAAGTCAACGGTGCTAAAAGAGCTATTTTCTAATCCGCTTTGCCTTAGGCCCTGGATTGCACATTTGTTTTACTGAAATTTAAATGAAAAGTAATGATGTGTGTTTCAACCACGTCTGTCACATACTTAGAGATTTTTCAGCTTGTAAAAGTTTGTAATTAGCACGACTAGCCAACCATCGGCACGTCACATATGATGTCACCACAAAATCTCCTTTCCCCTAGCGTAGCTGCTACTTACCAAATGGCCCGATTTATAGTGGGTTTTTTCCTCCTGAAGGAACGATTTGAAGTTTGCTGAACTAGCCATTTTCCCTGTTTTTTTTTCCCGTGTCTGGTTCGATGACGTCACTTTTGTGAAGCACATTTGTAGTCCTGGACTTATTTTCACACAAAACCTAAAACAGTGTTTACCCCGTGCGAAAATTTGTACTTTCTTATTATCTAAATGTTTTTGTACAATTCACAAACATCATATGTGAAATCCATGGCATATAACAAGCAGATTTCAAAAATAGCATTTTTAGCCCCATTGACTTGCATTCGTTTTTTCGTTCTTCCGAGGACCGTGGTCTGGAAGTAGATGGGCGTGACTTAGGTTCTCTACATTAAAAATTAGAAGAAAAAAAAACGGATTTTAATCTTTAGACAAGATGTGATACTATGTAAAAATAAGCATTAAGACACTTTATGCTTTCATGTACTTCTAGGTTTAATTTTGTAAATCTAAAGTTAAATACTAAACACAATTAAACTTTTATGTGGAAATAATCTGACAAGACAAAACATTGGTTACGTATTGTAACCCCAGATTCTATGAGTCTATTCGCAGCCCTTAAGCGAGCTGCTATTGGAAGGATGATCTCCGCATCAGCCAATCATGAAGAGCTTAAATGTACGCCCACCAATAGTGGGCCCCCTCGTGGTATATAACCGCAGTGACCCCACTGCTCCCCTCCAATGGCTCTTATTCCATCATAACCAGTGGGGCCAAGTGGCTTAAGGGCTGCGACTAGACTCATAGAATCTGGGGTTACAATACGTAACCAACGTTCTATTTCGTCTAGTCTTAGCCCTTAAGCGAGCTGCTATTGGAAAAAAGCGCAGCTGGATGGGTTTACGCCACACTGGTTAACACAACCAATGAACACACCCAATCAATCTCCTTTAGTGAGGGACGTTCAGCCTCAGACCAGGCTTAAAGACTGAGGCAGCCACGATAAGAGAGGGGCCCTCACTAAAAAAAAAAAAACATCATCCACGAGAGGATGACATCCATCTCAGCAAGGCCAATGAGGTGCCATAAGCATTCATTCAGCCTGCTGGGGTCCAAGCACTGAACGAGTGATGGAACCTGAAGACACATCTCGTAAATAATAACGAGTAAAGGAACAGGATGAAGCCCATGAAGCAGCCTGACAAATGTCTTCCATCGACACACCACTGTGGAGCGCCATCGAAGAGGAAATCCCTCTGGCTGAGTGAGCCCTGAGTGCCTCAGGGGAATCCTGCCCCGATGACGTGTAAGCGAGGGAAATGGCTTCACACAGCCAGTGCGAAAGACGCTGGGTCGACAGGGCCTGACCAAGGGAAGACTCCCTGTAGTGCACAAACAGGTTTTGTGAACGACGAATCTCCGAAGTGCGTGACACATATCGTGCAAGCGCGCGCACCGGGCAGAGAAGGTGAGAAGCCGCTTCCTCCTCAGAATTATGGGGAGGAGGAAAAAGTCCAGCCAATGAAATTGACCTGGATTTGAAGGAAGCATTAATGCTTTTGGGCACAAAGGCTGGATTGGGGCATAAAACAGCAGACCCGCCATCTTCCCGGATCCTGAGGCATGCGGGAGCCACTGAAAGGGCGGTCAGGTCACTCACTCTCTTAACTGATGCTAGCGCTAGCAGCAATGCCGTTTTAAGTGACAGGAACTTGAGTGAGACCTGGTCCAAGGATTCAAATGGGGCTTTGGATAAGCCGTGCAGAACCACCGTTAGATCCCACTGGGGAAAAAGCGGGCGGGACACAGGTCTGTTCCTCCTGACACCTTTTAGAAAACGTTTTGTGAGGGGATGATTGAAAACAGATCTATCTCCAAACCCTTGGTGACAGGATGAGATAGCTGCAGCATATGTTTTAATAGTTCTGAAGGCGAGGCCCCTGTCCATCAGTATCTGCAGAAACGATAGGACATCCGCCAGCTGGCAGGAGAGCGCTTGAACATTCCGTTCTGCGCACCAGTTCTGGAAAGCTGCCCATTTAGCAGCATAAGATGCAATGGTAGAGGGCGCCCGCGCACTCTGAATCGTGGCGACCACATCATGCGGCAGCCCAGAAGCCTCTAAGCGTGACCGCTCAGCGGCCAGACCCACAACCGTTGGCCTATTTCCGGAGGATGTTTGATTATTCCATCCGCCTGGAGAAGGGTGTCCGCCCTCCACGGGAGCCTCCACGGGGAGCCGGACACTAGCGCTTGCAGGTCCGGAAACCATGACGCGGACAAGCGCCTGGGAGCCACCAGAATCACCGAGAGCCGTTCCGACCGAATTCGGTCTAAGAGACGGGGAATCAGAGGGACTGGTGGAAACGCATAAAGGAGCGCTCGAGGCCAGGGCTGGTGTGAGAAGGCGTCCGCCCCGAGCGGAGGTCCATCCCGGGGACTCAGGGAAAACCACAGGCGACACTGAGCGTTTTCGCGAGCCGCAAACAGATCCACAGACGGTTCCCCGAACCTGATCCAGATCTGTGATATCAGTGCAGGATGCAGACGCCAGTCGGAGTCGCGGGGTCCCCCTCTCGACAGGATGTCTGCCGCTACATTCAGGACCCCCGGAATGTAGATGGCTCTGATGGACAGCAGGTGGACATGTGTCCAACACAGTAAATCTGTGGCGACACGCAACAGAGGGAGGGATCGAACTCCCCCTTGGCGATTTATGTAGGCTGCCGCCACCTGGTTGTCTGTGTGAACTTCGACATGACGGCCCTCGAGAAGGGCAGCAAAGTGTCTGATCACATTCCTCACTGTCATAAGCTCCAACACATTTATGTGCTCGTGCGAGTGGGAGGGCCAACGATCTGCCACCGTATGGGACAAGCACGTGCCCCCCCACCCCGACAGTGACGCATCCGTAAACACAGATACGTGTGACGCAGGACGTCCGATGGGAACCCCGCGTGAGAGGATGCAGGGGTTCCCCCAGTGAGCGAGGTCCCCGCCCACTGAAGGGGGAATCCTCAACATACGTCTCTTCTGACGTATCGGGTGCACCCGGAGGCGGGTGAACCAACGTTGCAAGCGCCTCGTGTGCAGCAAGCCTAGCGGCACCACCGAATGGGCTGCGGACATCATGCCCAGGAGTTTCATGACTAACAGGGCTCTCACGATCTTGCGGGGTTGTACACGGGAGATCACCGTGGAGAGATCTGCCGCTCTTGCAGGCGACAAACGTGCTCTCATTAGGGAGGCGTCCAACTCCACCCTGAGATACACAATCGACTGGGATGGAAGAACGGAGCTCTTTTCCCAGTTTATAGAAAACCCCAGGGTCGACAGATGCTCTTTCAACCTCCTGGTTTGCCGTGACGCCTCGTCCTTGGACCGAGCGCACAGGAGAAGATCGTCCAAGTAAAACAAAACCCTCATTCCCTCCGTGCACAGTGGCTGCAGCGCGGTCTCCAGACATTTGGAGAAGGTGCGCGGGGCTAGCAAGTAGCCGAAAGGGAGGCGATTGAACTGATATTGAACTCCCTTGAACGAAAAACGCAGAAACTTCCGGTGATTTGGAATTACTGGTATGTGGAAGTATGCGTCTTTCAGGTCGATTGACGTGAACCAATCCCCGGGGCGCACATATTCTAGGACTTGTCTCATCGTTAACATGCGGAAATGCATTACTGCTATGGAGCAGTTGAACAGGGACAGGTCGAGAATCGGCCTCATTCCTCCCGACTTCTTCGGTACTATGAAGTAGCGGGAGTAGAAGCCCGAGAGCTCTTGTCCGCGAGGGACTCGTGAAATAGCGTCCTTGGACAGAAGTTCCCGCAGCTCCAGCTCTAGGGCCTGAGACTGTACTTGCGATGTGAACGTCGTCTCCATGATCCCGTTGAAGGGAGGTGGAGTGACCTGAAAATGAAGTGTGTGACCGCAATGAATGGTGTCCGAAATCCATTTGCTCATGATACAAAGGCGGCGCCACTCGTGCGCGCATTCCGACAGTGGACGCGTGTGCGCGGTCACGTGAGCAACGACTGAGGGTTGTGCATGCGCCCTTACCGCCGTCGCCCGTACCAGAGAACTGGGGGCGACCCATGGAGGGCTGCGCTCGAAAGGGCGAGTGCGAAACAGCTGGAACAGGCTGGTCCGCACCGTGGAGCGTGGAGTCCGAGAGTGAAGGACGAGTGGGAGCCGAGCCTGTGCACGGGGGCGACAGAGTGCCAGCGGATGAAGCCGCGCACTGTGCCGCCGCGCGTGGTCGAGAAAGCGACCTGACATCTCGCCCCACCCGACGATGTAGTGAGAGCTGGGAGAGTTGGGCCCGGCCGGATGCTGGGGCCGGAGCGCAAATGGAGCGCACCCTTACGGTTGGCCGTATATTATGACTGCCTGCAGGAACATGTATGCGTGCAGCAGTGCTTGGTGTGGGGAACATGTGTGAGAACTCGGCAGAGGATTCTGCGGAGGACTGTAGGATTGTGCTCTTTGAGTGACATGTTTTGGGTTTTATTTCAAAACCAACATCAACATCATTACAATCATGTACACACACATTCCCCCCAAAGAGTCACTTCCGTGGCTTCTTTCGGCGAGGCTCGTGCACCTGGGACTGCCAAGACGGCGTCTGCTGGCCCCGCCGGAACCGTTGCCCGCCATCTCGCTGGTCCCGCTGATGCGGAGCCGAAGCGGGAGGCCGGCTCCGTGGAGCGGACGGTGCAGCTGGGCGTTTGAAGCTTCCGCGCCGTTCGTCCCATCCTCTGGCAGAACGGCCGGAGTGCGAGGCTGACCGAGGGTGAACCAGGTCTCGTACCGTAGCCGATAGTTCGGCCGTCTTCTGAGCCCTCTCAATGACGCCCCTAAGATGGGGACCAAACAGAACATCGGTGGTGATGGGGCCGTCCAGCATCTCCCTTTGCAGATGTTCCAGAATGGAGGGCAGGGCCTTGAGCCAGATCGCTCGCTGGATGAGGGTCTGCCAGGCAGCGATGCGAGCAGAACCGGTGAGCACAGCAGCACACAAATTGAGGAAAGCATCAGCAGTCTTAGTAATGACGGCTTTCGACTCCTCGGGGGCTTCCAGCTCCTCCATCATCCTCGAGACGCCGAAGGCAAGGAGGGCGATGTTATTCCCTGCAGCGCCGGTCTGAAAGGCACACTGATGTGCACGGTCGGTGAGCCGCGTCAGCAGCTGGTCATGTTTTGAAGCGGGAACAGCTCGCGGGCCAGCGAGGTGGTTCTTGGCGCCAAACAGCGAGGCCAAGTCCGGCTCTAGAGGAGGAACGGACGGCCAGCCTTGGTCGGAAAACCCCTCGACCTTGGTGATGTGCGCATAGGTGGAGACTGGCGCCTTGAGCTTGGCAGGCTCGGAGAAGGCGGCAGACCAGCAGCTCATAGCAGCGGGAAAGCGCGGCCAAATAGGGTCTAGACAGCGTGTCTGAGTTGCCCCGAAGATTCCCGCCAAATCATCCGCTTCAGGCGGGGCTGGTTCTGGCACAGCTAGCCCCTTGTGGGCTGCTGCCGCAGAAATGATGGCGGGCAGCTCCTGGAGCAGTGCTCTTACTGCTGGCAGGGAGGAGCAAGAAGCCACTGGGGCAGAAGGACCCGCTGGGCGGAGCTCATCGACCTCCGTTATGTCTAGGAGGGATGCCGCCTCGTCGTAGTTCTCGCTGTCGGTGACGTCATCCAGCCGGTTGAAGCCAGCCGGCTCCTGACCGGCGTCGAAGAAATCCAACGCCTTGTCCAGCGGGTACGAGTCAGCCACCGGAAATTCTTCGTCGGCGGCGGGAGTGAAGTACTCGACCCGGCGAATCTTCTCTGCCACGGGCAGAGCGGCACAGAACGGGCACGAGGCCTGCGGGGTCAAGGCCAGGCCAGCGTGGTGAGCCCCGAGACAGACCTCACACTTAGCGTGCAGGTCTCCACTGGAAATGGAGCCCGACTGGCAGGTCGGGCAGGGTCTGGCGTCGCTGGACATGGCTGGTAAGTCTTCTCGGATAATCTTGCTCTTTCTGGATAAATTTGCTCTTTAAGAAGCTCTCAGCTTGGCATGAAGAGAAAAAGGAGGCGAGCAGTGGGGTCACTGCGGTTATATACCACGAGGGGGCCCACTATTGGTGGGCGTACATTTAAGCTCTTCATGATTGGCTGATGCGGAGATCATCCTTCCAATAGCAGCTCGCTTAAGGGCTAAGACTAGACGAAATAGAACAAATGTTCCATGCTACACACTGACCTGAAGGTCAAAGTTTTGTGCTGCGAGGCTGTTTAACAGTCAGGCTGATTTAAGAAGATTCTGACTTCACATCGAACACCAAACCGCTCCTGTATATTAGCCTGGCGAGTTCAGCCTCCGCCTGCTCAAGTTCTGCCATCTGTGACTTGCTCAGAGTCTGAACTGCTGAGTCGAGACTCAAGCACTCATCATCGGATCCTGCTGAGTCACTTCTCTCCTTTTCCATGTCCTCATCAGTAGTGTCGTCCCATTCCCCTTTCAGGACGCCGAGGACAGGGGTTTCTTCTAAACCAGGCTGGTACAGTGTAAGTTCGTGCACCTCCTCTTTTGTGTCGCACATCTCCTGCTGCGAGTAGAAAACTTGTTCAGGTTTCTGGGAAAAAGAGCCACAAATTTCTGATAAATTCTTGCTGATTCCTGATTTTTCAATTATAGGCTGGTTTTAGGGTCAATTGAATGAATGGATTGTAAAAAGAAATGTGAAAACATTATAGATTTATGTTCAAATGAATAATTTTCAGATACTTTTAGTATAAATATAAGATCTATGTTGTTTAATATATATTTTATTTGCTGATAAGATTTGATTTAATGAAATACAAATTTATACGCATTGGTCTTGTCAGGATTAGTTTCTAGATAAAGAGCTTGCATTAAAAAAATCTCATCTTTACTAATAATAAACATGAAACCAACCACATTTATGTGAAATACAATATTTATTGTGTCCTTAGACTCAGTTCTGCTGGTTCTGGTCAAATCAAAGGTTAGTGGTTCGTTCACGTCACCATTCTAAAAAACATGGTGTCGCTTTGGACAAAAGTGTCTGCTAAATACATAAACACAAACATAAACATAAACATTGCTCCAATTTATATTCCTCCTTAATACACATGATTGATCATTCAGATCTCTTGGAGATTCTTGAGGGTGATGACTCAAAAGAGGAAATCTTCAATTTCACTAGCAGTTCAATTTTTAAATTGCAATGAAAAAGTTCTGACTTTTATAACTATCTTAGATAATGCAGTTTCTTACCTCCTTCTCTGGGTAGCGGGGGATGAAATCTAGTATCACTGATCTCGGTATGGGAGGGAAGATCTTAGCTTTGATTCTAAATATGAAAAACAAAAAGACAGTCAACAAATTGGTCATTTAGCGTCTGCCATAAGTCAAACTGGAGGAATTTGGGTGTTGTTTTTGACCAATCAATGTCTCTTGAAGGCCACTCAAAAACATTGGTCAACTTGACATGGTCATCCATGCCTTTGTCTCCTCACGTCTAGATGTCTGTAACACACTCTTCACATGTTTTAACAAAAAAGCCCTTGGCCGCCTTCAGTTGGTCCAGAGCTCTGCAGCGAGGCTCCTACCTGGAGCAAACAGAAGAGCACACATCCCTCCTATTCTAATGTCTCTGCACTGGTTACCCGTTAACTTTAGAATTCAAACTGAGGTGGTGCTCACTCTTCACCCTTGTCACGTGGACCTCAAGGAATAAACCATCAATCCTGCTCAATGGTCAACTTTCCTGACGTGGTCACCCATGAAGACAATGGGAGGGTTAAATTACTGAACTGTTAAAGCCTTATGCTCCAACCCGAGCCCTCACATCCGCACACCAGAACCTTCTAGAAATTCCAAAGACCAGATATAAAAGTTGAGGTGATCGCTCCTTCCAGACTGTTGCACCCCGACTTTGGAATTATCTTCCTTTATCCTCACAGTATTGACAGTCTGGACACTTTTAAAAAAACAGCTAAAGACCCTTTAATTTAAAGCTGCTTTTACATAAATCGTTTGTGTTTTCTTCTTTAGGGTTTGGGTTTAACTCGATTCTATAATTACATTTCAGTTGTTGGACATTTGTGATCTTTTTATAATTTCATGACTGTTTTTATGATTTTAGTTGATTTTATGATATTTGCTGTTTTGTGTTTCAAAAGCATTTGGATTGTATGACTTCATGGGTTGTTTTGTTTTGTTGCTCTCTGTGAAGCACCTTGTGATTCTCTTTCTATGATGAGTGCTATATAAATAAAATGTACTTACTTTACTCTCAAAATCTACTTAAACTAAACAGCAATAAAATGGAACTTCTACTCATTGGCACTCATTCGGTTTTAAGCAATGCTCCCAATCTCTCTATTAATATTGACAACTGCACTGTTCACCCATCTTTACAGGTAAAAAGTCTTGGTGTCATACAAGATCGTACACTTTCATTCAAATCTCACATTAGGCATGTTACTCGGGCCGCATATTTCCATTGTAGCGTTATTAAGATCCTATTGTCTGCCCTTAACAGCTGCCCCTTCACACAGTAACAACGTGTTGGAATCGCCAAGGTCGGATGCTGGTTTCAGTATGTTTACATTCCAGGAGAAGAGACAGAAGAAGAGAAGAAGAACGCTTTCCATTAATTAATCAAAGTACTTTATTCGTGATAAAGCTAATCAGAGCATATGTTGATCATTAATAATCAGGTGAATGATCTGTGAAATAAAGAAGTCATGAGTTATGTGTTTAATGAATAAACAGGACTGCACCAGACAGACTGATCTGCATTGACATGGAAACGCATGACACATTGTTCTCAACCAATCAGAAGTTTCGTCTGCCGTAGGTCAGAATCTGGGTTGTTTAATGAAGTTGTCCAATCCGGTTTACTAAGATTTGTAAACAATTAGGGGATATAAAACAAGGCAACGCCATTTTAAACTCAGTTCCATTTTAACCTCAGCTCTGTTCGATCTGAGCTCCAAAGGAGTTACATCATACTCTCAACGTAGTTTTCAACCAGCTCTCGATCCATCACCACAAAAGAGAAGTACAGCCTGGCCAGATGTACTTTCTACTTTAAGCTGAGAACTGTCAAGCTGGAGATTTCCGTCGTTTGAACAACAAGACGACGTTCCTTCAAAATAAGAGCTAACTCGCTGACGCCTGCCGCTGATACCGGGAGTCGACCCACAGACGGGCTTTGTAGTGCTGCGACCGCTGTTTCACCAGCTCCAGCACATCTGAAGGTCCGAGGACCTGGCATTTCCTGATCTACACGGGAGGCTCCACATGGTACGTAGTTGCGGCAAAATGGCGCTCATGTCATCAGCTTCTGAAGCCTCGTGTTAGCCTAGTCATAACAACCAGATTCGCTACGTCAGCCTAGAGATTCTGAAACACACACACACACACACACACACACACCAATCTGAAACATCCAAATCCATATGCATCCATCACGGAGTTAGTCCTGGTAGATTGCAAGAATTTATAATTATAGAAATTAAAGATTCTTAAACGATCCCAACTCTCTCTTTTCTTGTCTCTCAGTCAATACAGAGTGTTTAAGTAAACTCCCTGATGATAAAAACAACCACTTCTGATTATAATATTTAGATCTAATTACAGTGTATAAATATACAAACTACAGATCACTACACCATCTACGCAATATCAACAGACTCCTTCCTTTTCTCACACCTCATGCTGCTGCGTTCGTAGCCTCATCACTTCTCGCATCAACTATTGTAACTCCCTTCTATATGGAGCTAGGATTGGGACAATATTCAGCGTAACTTGTACCAAGTTTTGTAACTTCGAACATGTTTCATCACATGTAACTTTGGATTCATAACTTGTAACTTTAGTTTTCTAACTTGTAATTCTCAATTTGTACTTGTATTTCTTGTTTTGTAACAGGAAATTTTCATTTTGTACATGTATTTTTTATTTTGTAAAATCAAACTTTTATTTTGTACATTTACTACTCATTTTGTAGCATCAAACATTCATTCAGAAACATGAAACTTTCGTTTTGTAACTAGCAGACTTCCAAATTGAAAAAATCAAGGTACAAGTTTGAAATCAAAACTCTCAAAACACACATTTCATTCTACAGGTACAAACCTCAAATCTACAGTTACGGATCTTTTTGTCTCGATTCTAGTGTCAGTGGGAGGAACTTGGGTGGAACCACTGAGAGCACGAGTCTTAGCTACCAATCACGTTTCTCGAATTCCTGTCCAATCATTGGGAGAGGAGGGCAGGGTTCTGTCAGAGCTGTAGAAAGAGAGAGTTACGACCTGTATTTATTTCGATGGTTACGACACGGAATGCGGGAGTCACGTGGTTCATGTAGCTTCGAATAGTTCCAAACAGACCCCGCTGCTGCATAGACTGCAGTTCATTTTCGGTATTTTGGAAGGATTTTCTCCGGTAAGTTGATGAAATGTCATCATTTTGTTGCATTGTGAAGCATTAGCTAACCGCTACTAAAATAAGCCAATGATGATATTTTACCGTAAATCCTCTAATACAGGCCGGTATTCAATTAAAGGCCGGGTCTCCAATTTTGGCCGGTGTCGGAGTCAGTGGAGGTAAATAATGGCCGGTCTCTTATTGTGGCCGGGTGGAATGTGGTGACAAGCAAGTATGAGCGTCCCAGCGGCATGATTATAGTCCCCAAATCAACCAGCAGGAGGCAATAGAGGTTAACCCGGACCTTTATTAGGCTTTTTCTTCAATGGTTTGTAACGCTACAGACACGATCCTCTATCACGCTCCTACCACACAGAGTCACGGTGTCAGTTAACCATGCTAATTCAACCCCTCCACAGAACACACATCACCTTCCCTGTGGCTTACATAACACTCACACAACACGCAAATCAGCACATAGGAACTAGCAGAACGATAGGAAACACATATAACAATACCCAGAATGCACCTGGCTTACAACCCCAGCCAGGTCATTACACTATCAAGTTCAAAGAGAACGTGCTGATTATGCTGCAGAACACTCTGGAGAGCAGCAGTAGGGGGTGTATGAACTAGTCAACTTCACTATACAGTAATCCCTCGCTACTTCGCGGTTCATTCATCGCTGCTTCGCGGATTTTTTCTTTGGAGCATTTTTCAGGGGGAATTCGCAGATTCGCGGTATTTTTCACTGATTCGCGTTATTTTTCTATGCGAAATATCAAGAAATTCTTGTTTTTTTCATCAATTTCATCATAAAATGCACTTTTTGTAATAAAACTAAAAAAAAACAAGTAAAAAAAATTTTTTTTCTTGAGTTTTACCCACAAAAAGAGAATGTGATCATACGATAATTCCATAGGGAGCGTGGTTTCACAGACGCGGAAGTGATAGCGTCGGTGAAACGCCGGCCGGTCTAGGAAACCCCCGAGCGTTCGAGCATCAACGAAGTGACACGGAAATGCCGGGCTTTCCAGAAGTAAGTAAGATAACTTACTATGAGCTGGTAGTTCGTTGGATTGATCGGTAGGTTGGAAACTCTGATCATGAATCTGAAGAAACGATGACTGAGTGGTGAGCTGGAAAGGCGACTTCCGTTTATAGCCGCGGTTTGTGACGTAGGTGCAACGTGAGGGAATCCCCGAGAGGGGCATGCTGGGAGTCCCTACTTCGCGGATTTTCACCTATCGCGGCCAGGTCTGGAACGCATCTACCGCGATAAACGAGGGATTACTGTAGTGACTTTTTACGCCTGTCATCGACTAGTCGCTGTCACGTGATAATGACCGGCAAGATGCAGCCCTCGGAAAAGACAGCAGCCTGCTATCAGCAGGTGACAAGCTCCTGATGCGTTTCGCTGCTGTGGAGCGGGGCGCTGCGCGCATCACCTTGTCCTCCGACGCACTGATCACTGATACGGCCGCCAAACAGCGAGCGCTCCGCTGTTTTTGCGGTCGGTAGATCTTTTAGAACTGCAGTTCAAAGGTAACTCATGAGGTGAATATATATGAACCCAGGTAGCAGTTTTTCTTTAGGATTGAGAGGAGATGCAGGAAGATAATAAACAGACAGGACAGAAAAATAGTCAAATATAAACAAGTTAGTTTTTGTACCTGGTGGTTGCAACAAACAGACACCATTGAAGGTAATCAGAAGTGGAACAGAAAATGAAATAATTATTTTAATGTTTAGAGCAGCAGGAACTCCGAGAGGCTGCAGGCGCATCAGTGAGTTTGCTGCCGCTGCGCAGGGGGAGGGGGGAGAGGGCTGAAGCAGGGGGAGGGGGGAGATGGCTGAAGCAGAAAATACTGTTGTTAAAAGAAATGTGTTTAACTTTGAAAATGTGGGCGCAAT